AGTTCCATAAGGCCATAGTTCCAAGGGCGAAACAGTTTTTAGGGCCTGTGAAGGCTCACTCCTGTTGCATTCTAAATGAAAAAAATAGTGATGAATTACGTCAGAAATGTGGAATAGATAAATAACCAAATCACATGTTTTTTAGCAAAGAACTTATGCAGTTGTGATTTGCCTTGAGTTCGTGAATATTAGATAAGGTCAGCTACTATTACTTGCGCAAAGTATAACATGGGCTTAGTACCGTATTGCAATGCTTTTATTATTTTGCTCCCATTTAAGTATTCCCATGCATCTGCGTCTAGTTTAACAGGAAAACATACAAGCAGAGTTAGTGTCTGATAAACTAAAAGTCCCAGTTGTCAAAAAGATTCCTAAAATTTGTCCACAGCCAGCTGCATTTAATTGAGACACAGAACACTCATCTTCTAAAACTGTATACTGCAGTTTTGCGGGCAACTAAAAGCTCAGACACTTAGCTATCTTGCTATCGATGTTATTGCTGGGGAAATTGTTTAATGACAGTTATAATGAAATATGGTCAGTGATAGATGTACAGTTTCGAAATAAACACCAAACATACTTATCGCTGTCTTATAATGTATGACAGCAACAGCATCAAAGGCACGTTTTTTCCTATTTTTAATCAGACTGATCTGAATCCGTATACACAGTGGAAACAGGCAACTCTACTTACTAAACTGGTCTGTTTCGTTACAGGCTTCAAGCACTATACTTAAGTATATCATAATTCTTTCAACTAAACTGAATTATACGACAACCAAGAACACTAAACTAAGCAAGTGTCATAGTTATTGTTTCACTTGCAAAGACATGTTGCTCAAAGTAGTTAAATGGACATTTTTCAGCCGATAAAACCAAAACACGAAATATAGGCCAGTTGAACTTACCTAAGAAAAAAAGAAGGATACATATATACTGCTTTCATACTGAAGACAACAGGCAGTTGTTCATAGAAACATAGTTTACAGTACAACAAACCTTTCTTCAGTAAAATCATGCACTGACAGTCTATCTGGAAACAATCAACTGTGTGAATAAACTCACTATTACTTGAGATATAATCCCAGCGTGCAATGGACATACAGTGTAACGCAGTCGGACGTGGCGAATAAAAATTAAAAACAGAGCAAAATTAACAACATAATCTAGTTATTTAATTAAAAATACATTATGAAATGACAAAATCTGTGGTTACTTGAACGCACAAATGACAGTGTGCGATACATTAAGTTTACATGGTTGCGTTGCGGATAAGATCACCCCAGAGGTTCTTGAAAGCAAACTGATCCAGGCCTCTAAAAGACTTATAAAGCCGATTACTTGGTGCTGATTATATGAAATCTAAATATTGGGAAAACAGAAACATTTGTGGAACGACTCTCCTCAAGTCTAGAAGATTTTATGAAGAAAAACCTGTCATAGTCTATATATTCGTGTAAGAATCAAATACCTAGGTGAAAAGGTGGCATTTCAGAATTATTGGGAGAAAGTAGTAATACATCGCTTTTGGGAAACGATCACGGTAAAGCCAAGGTATTCTCAAATTACTTTGGCGTTATACATGCTTTGGAGGCAACCTCCCTTTGGTTCACAAACACTTTGAATACCGTAACCATTGTTTGTTGAGTGAGTCTAATATAGGGAAACCTATGGGACCTGATGATATTCATTATAGCTTACGAAAGGATTTAACGAGTTTTGTTGCAAATCCCTCAAGTATGTGTTTTAATCGATCTGTAATCAAAGGTAGACTACTAAAAGATTGGAGGAAAGCCGTAGAAAGTCGTGTCTTCAAAACAGGTGCGAGTGAATACGTCGTTCTTCATATCTCTTACAAGAGCTAGCCAACATAGATTGGTCACTTCTCGTTGTATAGACATCCTATCAAATATATCTCCAAACTTCTTCATTTCTGACTTCTGATTCGACTAAGTTAGCGTACTTTGATTGTGAAGGTGTTACAGGTAAAACGTCGTTAAACTCCGATTATTGTGTCATCTTTACCATCAAATCATCTTCAGCATACGGATGTAGGGATTGTCACAAGGAAAAAGAAAAGGCGCGCAAAGAAGAAACTGCTTATAGACAGTACTAAGGTATGTGAATCTACGGTTTCAGTTCTGGATACACATATCAACGCAAAACAAACTATGGGAGAGCCAAGTCTGAGCGGTGTAGAGGATGTAATCAAGAGACAAAATAAGGTAAATGAGTGGCTCACAGTCACGTCTAAGGACACTAAATTGGAATCGGATTACAGGGAAGACACGATTTCAGGAACTAAAACTTCCCGTGTTAATTCGGACCTTGCTGAGGTGTCAGTCATTTTTCATATGTAAAGAGAATCTTAAGAAAAGAAACCAAAGGCTAGATTTGAGCACGACTTCAGTCACATCAAGTTCTTAATAAGTAGGCATCTTCAAGCTTCTTACAATAGGACAAAATGTGGATTCTGAAAGTACTCAGAAAAGCCGTCTATTGAAGGTCACTTTTGTTGCAGTTGAAGAAAGAAACCTGATAATGGGAAGCCCATGCAAACTATATGGGTCCGGAATGTACGTCCGTGAGGACCACAGTCTGGTTGACCATATTAAGAGACGAGCTACAGAAGTAAAAATTAATGAGCGTCGCCTAAATGGTGAAAGAAACCTCCTACTTAAGAATTTTCAAATTGTAAAATATTGAATTAATTGTAGTATATCGCAGTCCAGAATGTGTAGTCGATAACTTCCTCCTAAGCAAACCTAAGTTGTGGTGTAATATGAGTAAAAACCTTAAAGCAGGAGACTTTGATGCACCGTATATAAACTGGGTTAACTTAGAAGTGTGATAATCGAAAACGTCATTTGATTGCGAACTGTAAGAAACCTCAACTGCACTAGCTTTATTACAGCACGTTGGAGGTCCCACCAGATATGAGTTAAGAAGTTCCTCGTCTCCCTTGGACTTAGGCTTCAAACACGGTGATGACGATGGTCCAATCACTTTTCTCCCACCACTAGGTAAAAGAGATCATGCAGTCATTTTATTCAAATTCATGGCTGAGATTGCTTATCAAAAAGTTGCGCCAGGCCGTCCTAATATATGGAGGGCAGACATAGAAGCGATCAACTCCGCAGCATCGGCTGAAAACTGGGAAATCGACTCAAGAGCATCAGTACGAAAGGCATGCACTCGTTTCAGGCAGTTATACTATCAGGTAACTCAACCATATATACTCTGGACGGTTCCAAAGAAGAAGAGGCACGGCCATTCCTGGATAGGCCGGGATATTCGACGTTTACTAAGACAAAAGAAGAAATGTTGGGATGTTTCAATCAGCCTTTGTACAGCAAGTACGATGGGACGCTACAGATCGGTAAGAACCAAGTGCATAATTGAAATCCGGGAAGCTCAGAGAAAATATGAAATGCAGCTGGCACAATCTGCAATCAAGCAGCCTAAGAGAATATTGTCGTACATAAACTACAGAACAAGGATGCATCATTGGACTACCAACCTAATTAAAGTAGAGAGTGAATCTTAAATGTTAGAGGAAGATCAAGAAAAAGCATAGGCCATGGCTAACTATTTTGGGGCATTTTTCACTCAGAAACCTCCTCTAGACAAAGAATTAGACCAAAATAAAGAGTCAACAAACCACCTACTCACCGTGGACTTTGATCAAGACGATGTGCTTAGGGCTCTTAGCACCTTGGTCATGGAAAAGTCAACAGGACCAGATGAACTTCACCCCAAAATCTTGAAAAATATTACACAATATATCGTGGCCCCACTGACTGTGACATTCAATATGTCACTTGACCAAGGTGTGTTACCTATGGACTGAAAGGATGCAATCGTCACTCCCATACATAAAACAGGATCAAGATAACTTCCACCAAAATACAAACCTGTCAGGCTCACCAATGTCGTAGTTAAAATAGTGGAAATAGTAGTAAAAAAACCATAATGATATTTATGGAAACCAACGACCTGTTAAACAGCGAACGACATGGCTCTGTCCTGGGTACCTTACTTTTTATACTGTATATAAATGATCTCCCTACTACAGTCTCAATGTTATTATACGCAGACGATATAAAAATCTGGCGAGTAATAACAGAAGATGCAGATGCATGCGCACTTCAGAAAGATTTAAATATTGTGATTAGCTGGTCTGAGAAGTGGCTAATACCTAGCATTGCGACAAAGTGTGTCTACGTGCACTTTGTGGATACAAAGGTTAGTAGGTATAGCATAGGGAGAGTGTCTGTACCTGTGGTTCGGTCCCATAAGGATCTAAGAGTGACAGTGAGTTATGGTCTTAAGACAACGGCCGATTGCCGGAAGGTCGCAGCTAAGGGGCCTCGAACCCTCCGGGACGGACATCCACCAAGTCAGATACTACTATGCTCACTGCAGTATGCACAACCTTAGTGAGAACTAAGCCTCAGAACTGCTCTCAGGCTGCAAGCCCCTGTTTAAAAAGTGGCTCAGATATCCTGGATAACGTACGGAGGGAAGCTACCAGTGCAATTATAGAATTCCGAAGTTCACCATGCAAAAGGCAGTTGGAAAAGCTAGACCTCAATAATCTGTCGTACCGTAAAACAAGAGGTGATCTGATGTTGATGTATAGAATACTAAGAGGTGATTCTAGACCTAATATATGATCTCTTTTTCCTCCCACTAAATCAGGATATCTCAGAAGACATAACAAGCGCGTAGAAAAGCCGACGACAGACAATATACACATGACATACAGGTTTTCACACCGAGTCATCAATACTTGGAACCTGATGCCCGAAGCATTGGTGTACTCACCTTCAATTGACTCTTTCAAGAGAAGAATGGACACTCACAGAAGCATACTAGAGAAGAAATAGCATATGCCGTAGGTCTTCTGTCCTTACTACACAAATTTGAATGTGAATGTTAACGATATATAGTAGATTCAATGTTCAGACCGCTTTTTTCGATCTCACCGCTACTTTGGTATGTTGTCCTTGAGTAGCAAAAAAGGACTTCATAGGCTGATTTATTCATCATACTCGCGACTTTCATCTTCGGAGCCAAGGTTAGCGATAAAACTGTGTTAATATAACTTTAGTCAACCTTCAAAAGTTGATAGTTCTGATGAGTCCATCCCGTACAAACCGTACAGTCCTTTTCCAAAACCACAAGGGAAAATAGACTATGTTATCACCCGGCTTGATGATTTAGCAGACTGGGCTAGAAAAGTGGGGTCGATTTTTACTGTTTCACTCCATAGAACTCAATATATCCGCTTACTTTCGGTCTTGCATGCTGCGCTGTTGAAATGATGCATATCGCTGGGCCTCGTTATGACATGGATCGTTATGGGGTAGTTTTTCGGGCTAGTCCACGTCAAGCTGACCTTTTAATCGTTTCTGGAACTGTTACAAACAAGATGGCCCCGGCTCTTCACAGAATTTACGCCCAAATGACTCAACCGAAGTGGGTTATTTCAATGGGCTCTTGTGCAAATGGTGGTGGTTACTATCATTATTCATATAGTGTTGTACGTGGCTGTGATCGAATTATTCCGGTTGATATATATGTCCCAGGTATGTTGTTGTTAGATTGTTCATTTTGCTCGCAGTTGGACCTACCAGTTTTTTTTAAATTTGACTTGGTAGCCACAAACTAGAGGATCTAACCTAATTCCACTAAATAAATCATACTCAGAAGGGAAAAACACAGATAGCTATTGAATTAATTACTTGCCCGTGTACTCGACTACGAGAGATACTTCTGTGAAGACTAAAAATACTACCTGGCTACTTATTTTATTTAACAGTTGGGGAGTAGTGTGGAATATATAGAGCATATCTCGGTCACTAGTCGGTGAACGTTCACATCCTCATCAGACATGCATCATCTCCACCTAGTAGCCTGCGAGTAGCTTCAGCATTATCCACGTGATGGTTGGACTATACACGTGCAAAACCGTCGTGACAACTACCAACAATCTACACATATCTTAAACCCTCAGATACCACTTCACATGCGTAAATATAGGGTTAGCTGCTGCGCGCCGTGTCCTTTCTTTTGTTAAGCGGATGGGGATGTATCATGTTTAGTTACTTTAACAATAATCAGTTATATATGACTAATAATTTCTTTGGGTGACAACCATTTAATTGAGTAAATAACACTGACTTAATCATAGTTTGAGATGTTTTACACGCTCATTCTGTGGATTCAAGCTTAGCCATCATCAATATAGATTAAAAGGTTCAGAGAAACCAACCTATGGTTTCCGACTAAAGTCGTATTCAGATGCCGTATTATTCGAAACCATTCAATATTTTCAATACCATTAGTTTTTTTGTTGATTCTCTGATTCACTGTACCAATATGAATTATAACAACTTGAGGCTCCGTACCTTTGTGCTAGGTTATATGATTTTCATGACTAACTGATTTAAAGGTCCCATGTTAACTTAATGCAGACTTTTTCGGTGAGACTATAATTTATGGACGACCTTTGAGCGACGCTGAAGTGACCTTGAGAGTGTTCACTTTATAGCTAGGATCAAATGAAGGTTATAAACCAGTGTGAGGAATGAGAATTATTATTTACAGTTTATGGTTAGTTTCAGGGATTAGATTGACATCAGCTATAATGCCAAAACTGTTTAGCCAAATGGATGGGTAAATTTCGTGCCAAAATCCGAGACCTGTTATCTTCTACCTGATTGGTTCGTCCATAAATTATAGTCTTGCCACTTTTTCAATGAGATCAAACACGTTAAAATTGTAAGTTCAAATTATTTAGTCGCAGTTAAGTTCTACTATATGTCTAGCTAATTTAAGCACTAAATAGTAAGCCTAATGTTAAACTATTGTGTCAAATCGGGCTCATTCTTTTACTTGAAAGTAATAATAATATTCTTATTTATTTCTTTTTAATGTTAGGTTGTCCTCCATCTGCAGAAGCGCTGATGTATTCTATATTACAACTGCAAAAGAAAATTAAATCTGAAAAACACATTCAATCATGGTATAGGAAATAAATGATGAATTTATCTTAAGTGAAAAGAGAATTTTCAGAACTGAATTGTAACTCACTTTCCAAAATTGATTCACACATTAGTGTTTACCTGTATTTATTATAGAAAACCAAACCTTTCTAGATACACATGTGTTTATCTGCTCAAATTTACGTACCACTTTTTGGGTAAAATGTGGGTTGCACATCTGTTGTATTATTCGGACGATATAAGTTAACTTTTCCAGCCACCATCCATCCTCACTCTCAGTGGTGACTAGCGTCTAAGTTGGTTGAAAGAGAACTAAGGAACGTTAAACCAAGCAACGACATCGATTCATTATATTATTAACTGCTTATATTGGTCGTCTTGGGAATCACATACTTCTTTATGGTTCGCATACTAATCGTGGATCTCGAGTGATATAACTCATAATCAGTTGTAAAAGGTCAGTCGCATTCATCCATTTTTGAAGTGTCCTCAGATGTCATAATAGGCACGTTTCTCTCTGATCTTCCAATGTATATGACTTGATTCGTACATATGAACTAGTGGATACTATTCAATCAAAATATTTTTCTGTTATGTTGGGGAGGGGTAAGTTACAATCGGGAAATGAGTGTGTGGTTATTTTTTATTGGCCCAACAGCAGAGTAACTTACTCGGACTGCGTAACAGTATAAGTCAAAGTCTAGGGCAGATGGATTTATACGATATCAAACAAAAAGCCTAGGATGTTGATATCTAATTTTTTCACTTATAAAACTATTCACTTTAGTGCTTCAAACACTTCAAATTCAGATGAATAACTTCCAACGATAAAAAACAAAGGTTTACTAACTGACTAAACAAGCGGCTTGTTCGTTAAAAAATACTTTGAACACGGCATGTCACTGAACCATACCCTAAACAAATCATATATTCTCCCAATAAAGCTGTATAGACTTTAAACGGTATGGATAATTGATGAATGCTTAAAAATTTTGTTTTTGAAACAGTTCATATAATAAGTCATCATATTTTATAAAGAAATACATTATAATAACTGTATTGTGTCGTTCAAAATTTGAAATGTTTTGTATTATCAATGCAGTAATTGATTTAAACTAGAAAATCTACTGGTTATTTTGAAGACGGGTTGAATAGTTGCAAATTCTTTATCGAAGAAATAACGCTTTATTTATAAAAAAACTAATAAAAATCTCACATTTAAATAGTATCAACTAAAAGGTGGCATTTATTTGATAATGAAGTGTTATCGATAACAATTAAGAGAAACACTTTCAACGGAAAAGAGAAATAATCACTGGCAGTTTAAAAATTTTGACTAAATACAATTAAGTTGGCATATTAAAGTGTCACAGTTTCAATTTAAGCAATCAAATATTTTCCGAACAACAAAGCTATTTATTCTTTACAACAACAGTCTGAGTTACATAATCGTATACTGATTTGAGTGTATTTGAATTCAAGAAAATCTAGAGGACGTCAAAAAAGATGGAATTCATTAATAAAGAAAGCAGTGATTATATAGAATAAAACATCTAGACCGACCAAATATTCAGCGTTTCGTAGAATTCAAATTGAGAATGGATTTGTAACACTAACTGATTCAGAATTGTGTACGTTAAGTTTTTTAACTTGTCATTTTGATTACCTTCCTAATTGTAACTATGACGCTAATAATTCTGTTTCCGACCGTTGCTGCCACCTTGACTTAGTGGCTGGGCTTGTCTATCGCGATGAACCAATCGAGCTATACTGGCTGGGACAATCGTTCCTCAAGGCCTTCCCGCCAAGGCAGGGTTGGATTAGAAAAGGTTGATTGGAAAAATATACACTTCGCCGCGTCCCACGAATATCCGTCTCCGGCGGTACTGTCTCAACAAGTAACACAAAATGGTTGTGTTCGACCGGCCACAAACAGTTGATTTTTATCCGAGTTGTATTGACTCTGACATATTAACTAGTTTACTATTATTAATGGCTTTACTTAATATTTTATTTATGATACAACATAGGATTCTCGGCACAAGGTATTTCTTTTACAAAAAAAGTGGAGGAAACTGATAACGGCATATATTCATGCATAAATCAATCAGATGAACTACCTAGAATTAAAAGCAATGTTTTTAAGGAGATTTGAATCTCTACGATTTTTTCAATTAGAAACATGTTTAAGAATACAGGTTATTGACTAGGTTAAGTCTAACAATCTATTCGTCACATAGTATATTTGCTAGATAAGGTACTGTAGGGTTTATATACTTTTGCTTGGGCGCATGGACTCGGATGTATTGAAGTCTCGTTCTACCAGAAGATATACAAGGTGAAATATGTGAATGAAGGGGATGGTTAGTATCTGATAAGATAACACGTGCCAGGAATTTGCAAGACCTTATATGTCTATTCACAACTATATTAATAATGATCTCAAAAGATTCACTATACATGCTGCTAACTGCCTTCAGCACTCCGCAATACAGAAAATTATTTTCTAAAAAGTCTAAGAAAGAATAATGGAGAACAATAAAGAATAATAAGTAACATGCAGAATCGACGAATTTTAGGAGTAAATGTCGAGTAGTCCCAAAGGCATGTAGCCTCTTTATGTTGTAAATCGGACAGGAGACTTTCTTCGATAACAATGAAACATGAGGTGACCAAGAGGAAAGGTTGCACCAAGAAAAATAACTTTTGACAGTGTGTTTATCAAACAATCTCCAATGGTACAACAGTGTGTCTACGGGCTGTCAATGTCTCAGACTGAAGTTGACACTTTAACATTTAAACGGATTAAGTATGAGACCATTAAAAACAGACCACGATACGAGATAAGGATTCATCCATTTCAAGGGGATGTAAAGAAGTAGAAATCGGTATACTTACAGCGAGATCGTCCACATATTTAGCGAAAGTGTTTTCTACGGATGATAGCAGATCACGCAAAAAAGAGAAGAGTGGATAAACAGCTCTTTGTGGCACACCATGAGACGGTACAGATGTCGAACACCTTCCTCCAAACACAGTGTACTTTTCACTTCGAGAGAGGTAGAAACATAGGCAGTTGGCCATCCAGCTGTCATTGTTTACGCTGGTTGACATGTTAAGAATCGACATATGAATAATTTTCACTAACTTCAATGCATATTTTCAGCCATCACGATGTCGCTGATTGTACTTTATTGTAAGTTGTACAGTGAAAGGTCATAAATGCGGTTGAGTAGGTTGTGCAAATTATAGAGATAATAGTGTGTTAAAACAAACAAAAATGACTTGTTGAGATATTTAGATGTCATAAACGCGTAGCCTAAATATTCCAACAATAACCACCTCTTGTAATAAGTTTGCTTTCTATATACCTAACTAATTGGATCTTCAGTTTATAGAGTTCAACAATGTTAAGTTCGATTTACCTTACCTAATTTTCTAGTCGGTGTGATAATTTCACATTAGCCAACTGAATATCATCCACTACATATTTTAATCTTAATTATTCATCAATTGACTTTCATTTACGTAATTACACAAATGTTGATCTGCCATGTTACACATGTATCCTTCGTCAATTTTCTCAACCGAATATTTATTTCAATATAACTGAAATTGTAGAACTTTATTTAAAGCTGGACTTACATGGCGTCTATAAACAGGTTACATTCATTTTTGACTAGTTTCACTTTTATGAATGTACGTTGAATTTACTGTATTTTTTTTACTGTATTTTTTTTTGACATTTAGTTTTTATTACCGCAACTATTCTGTAATCAATTTCGATTATGTTCAATTCTCGATAAGGCCTTTTATTAAATTAGTTAACAGAAAATATTATTAGAACAAGAACAATTTGTCTATTTCTTTGTATCTTTATGATCACTAGATCACATGACAGACTCTAGCTAAAATGTTGATCGCTTAAATATCATACGATAGTTTATCCTTCCCCCCCCTACATGTATGTATGTACTCCGTCTTCAGTAACAAGTATAGGTGGTCTATCGACTTATATTAATCCTTGCAGTTTGTAACACTGTGAAGGTCCAATCTCGCTTTGAATATATCAACAGAAGGTGCTGATATTACGTTTTACGGCAGAGATTATCAGTAATTCACTACTTGATGCGAGAAACGAAACTGCAGACGTAAAAGATTTGATCTCGGTTTTTGAACTTTATCCGAGTGTCCTTCTATGACACTATTCTATCCGACATACTATGTATGGGTCTCTAAAGCGAAGATTAGAACGGATGATTTTGCTTAACGTGGCAATTCATTTACATAAAGTAAAAAGGGAAGAGAACCGAGGATTGTACCTTGAGGAACCCCTTTTTTACAAATAACCACGTGGAGAGAGCTCCATTAACCCTCACCCTTTCTCTCCTGTCATGGAGAAAGTTACTTATCCAATATACAACTGTATAAAGGATTCCAAAACGTTCTGTTTGAATTTAAGACTAGAATGGGAGACTTTATCGAAGGCCTTACTTATATCCATGGAGATCACATCAACAGGAATAGCCCGATATTTAGCCGCGGCCCAGTCTCCTCTTGCATTGAGATGTGTCAAACATGATAGGCCTCCTCGAAAACCATACTGCTCTCTGGAGAAAAGATTATGCCCTTGCACATAGTTTATAACAGATATCCGAGTGATTTTTTCCATCAGTTGTAAAACTGATGGGTCTATAGTTACTAACTAAATCTACACACCCAGCCTTATACACCGGACTTATTATAGCATCTTTACAGTCACTGGGCAGTCTGAACTGCCTCAGAGACAAATTAGTGTCGGTAATGGTTCAGAAATTACATTTGATATGGCTTTCATAATCCTAGGATGAATATCATCAGGACCACTGGACTTATCAGGTTTGAGATGCTAAAGTAGCCTTAAAACAGTACCTTTCTTAATGACTACAGGATCCATCAGCGCGCCGCCACAATCACAATGAATCGTTGGTCATTATTCATCAGTGACAGAAAACAATTTACTGAAATATTCCGATAAAGCTTCGGCTAGTTCGGCATAATTTCTTACCAAGAAGAACGGATATTCTTTTATCGAAAGTGATGGAATTCCATCGCCTCTCTGAGTTCGCCTTTTTATATACGAGAATTACCGTTTCGGACTATATCTAGAATCCTTAACCAATTGTTTTTCATATGATAGTCTAGTCTTACTAACGATTTACAGGCATTCCTAATCTTACAATAACTGAATCTGTATTGTTCTAAGCCAGTAGAGATGAACATATTCCAGTGTTTCTTCCTTTTCCTAAGAAGTTTCCTTACTGGTTTAGTTATCCATGGTGGACTGTTATTCGGTCTTCGTGGCACCAGATATGGTATGAACGGGGACGTAACCAGACTAAACTTACCTTTAAATACAGACCATGCTTCTTCAACTGATATGCTAGTATCTACCAACCAGTCTGTCTTAGCAGCGCATAACTGAATGGCTGATACGTTAGCTTTCCATACATTTGGGCGAGGAGTAACCCGATCGTATAACATGTCCCTAGTTCTAAACGCGAATGACAAAACAGCGTGATCGCTATTCACTAACGATGGAAGAATATTTAGGTCACATGAATGATTACCAAGTCCAACAGAGAAGAACCTTGGTTAACACCAAAACGTGTGGGTTTGGATACATGCTGCACTAGTGCATGCTCCATTATTGTTATCACGAACCTACTATCAAGGGAGTTTATAGATCCTTCTGTGGTCATCCCAGTCCATCTAATATCAGGTGCATTAAAGTTTCCTATTATCAAGCATCTGGTATTTGCACTCCAAAGATGAATGTACCCTAAACTAAAGTCATCAGCTAAGCAGATCGGGCTGCGATAGATGACACCGAGCATAAATGTACTACATCCGATAGCCAATTTACAGCTAATGATTTCACAAGTACCGCTATCATGCGATTCTCTAGCAGTGGAGCGGATATTTATATTGTTGGCCATGTATAACAGGACGCCACCTCCTTTTCTACATCTATGTCTATCTGAATAATTCTGGTGTAATGCCAAAGTCATGGACTAACCAAGTTTCTGTCACTGCTGCGATGAGTGGCTTTAACCTGTCCACCAATGTTTTTAGTTCATAGAGCTTATTTCTTAGACTACGAGCATTGGCAAACAAAACTACTAAGTAGAACGGCCTATTCTATTCGAGAGACATATCAGGTCTAACCCGTATGTCGGAATTATCGTGACAACGAGCGTTACTTAACCGGAGACCCCGTTGCTTCTCCGATCCTAGGATTATCCTAAAGAGTCCTCAATCCTCTTACCTACTCTAACCAATTTTTTGACCTGAAGTCCCTTAGAGTTTTCTGGTAATATACTACAAATATATTCTCCCAGCTTCCTTAAATCATGCGCATGTCTAGTTTTGGATCAGAGTCGTTTGACTCCAGCAATTTACTCACAATGATATTTCATGAGATTAGATACTCCTTCTCAGTCATGCCATGGTGGAAATCCTACTACTATCAGACTTCGGTAGTGCATATTGTGACTCACAATGGCAGTCCACCAATGACTTGCTAACCAGCTGCAGACTGCTACAGCTTTTTTCTTTTCGTTCCTTTTTCTCTGAACTGTAGTCCACTTTTCTTCACTCAGGAGACCGTTGAAATTTGGAACGCGGACGTTTTTATCCAGGTCTTTAATTCCCACTAGAGGTACATGATTACCAACATCAACGTCAGCTGGCACTTCCCTCCCCGTTAATGTTAACGGATATTTCACTTTACCCTGAGTCACAGTCGGATGTTTGAGGCGCCTCGTAACAGCACGTACTACACTGACACGTTCTTCACTGTCAGTGCAACCGCCACCGTTCTTCTTACAGGCCAAGCCAATAAGCTCATGGCCTCCTGGATTAGTAACGTCTTGTTCGCAAGGTCAAACATGCAAAGCCAGTGCGAGTAAGGCTTCGAACATCTTTTGTATGCGGTGGGAATTAAACGGGTACACATCTTATTGTATCACCTTTTGCACTCATTAAACTGCATTCCTTCCTCCACGCCGAACAAACATTTTGGCTGTCCACATTTATAAGTACTACCAACCATCGTAATCAGATCAAGGTTTAAGACATTATGAATAAAGTGTCAGTCAATGAGTAAGAGGGTACCACAAGACAAACTTTAGAGAGATTTCAAACCTTAATTTAAGTGCTTAAATATAAAGTAGACCAAAAATGCTTTTGATGCAACAATTACACAAAAGCAAGGATAATCACAAGTACAAAGTCACTGCCCTTTTTGAAACGCGCGCCAGTTCAAATATTATTATTAGCCTTTACTTTGCCCTTATGCAATTTGACCATAAATTTGCCCACGTAATTGCTTGCACATACTTATTCGTCCCTCAGTTTTAAATTCCTCGATGTGCTTACAGCTTCGTGATCTGTGCTATCCGCCAATAAACTGTAGTTGCCACTTCTCATTGACTTCTAATTTTAAACACCGTTGATATTTTTATTTTAACGGTTATCGATTAAAGAAACAAAGCCACTACATTATCACAAACTAAATGATTTTGACTAGAACACCATTATAAACCTACGAGCACTTGACGGAAGATTTGTTGTAATGAAGGAATCCTCAGTAGCGCACACTCATGACTCAGGACACGGGATTCGAACAATATGTACAACTGATGGTAATTTAATGAAATATCATGAATCACTACGTTGTTCTTGATTCATATTGTGATTCTCACTCTCTTCAGATTTGTTTATTATGAATTGTTAACATTATGAAATAATAATGTAGGAAAGGCGATAAGTGGGAATCTGTCTACAAAGAAAAGCTGATTTTAGCATAACATTGGTATTTTCTCCAGATATAATTTTGTCTTAATTTACTCTCAAAGAGCATCACTCAGTTCTAACATGAAGTAATTATTTATTTGAAACTGTCTGGATAATAGTAGTATAAGTAAATATTAATCGGAAACAGACAATCAAACAATAGAATCCTTTGGGAGCAACAGGTAAGAACGGTTAAGAAAAGACACTTTCATGAACATAAAACAATACAGTGGGCAAGATATTCTTACATAATTGGTTTTGATAAAATTATTGATGTGAATGACGAATTAAAATTATGACCATCTTTACTTCATTTTTTGACGTCATTGCCTTCCATAACCTTTGAAACAGACATGTGATGCCAGTGTTAGTAAGCTTTTAGATAAAAAATATCTACATATATACCATATCAACATGTAAGTTATTCTCCCTAGTTGATATAGTAGTGAAATAATTATGTAATAATGCACTTTCTATTGGATTACTGAACTAATAATTCTTTATCATTTCATAGTAGCTGAAGGAATCTTGAAAACAACCCGGCTTTCTGAAGCTTAGTGAATGAACCATTGCTCAACCATCTGAACTATTGGTTGTAAATCGAAAGAGTTTAATCATTAAGCTACTGTCTCAGAAAAACTTATATTAGTTTATTTAGTCATTAACTATCAGTGTGTAGCCTACCTTGTTTATGGTTCATAGAATGTATACGATTTATGCTTAGAATCTTGAAGTGACATAGCTTAAAGTAGAATGGAATAGCATAAGTGTACTCATTTATCCTCTTGAGTTTTCTATTTCACGTTTATCAATTTGTATTTATTCTTTTTGAATTGTAACTTGTATTATTAAAATAAGAAACCTGTGAAATGTTCAGTTCTTAGTTTACAAAACAAAAACCGACTATAGCTAGAAAAACATTGAGTACCGGTGAACTCAAACTATTGCAAAATGTCATAAACTGACTGGAGGTAGAAAAGCATGAACAATTAGATAGTGCTACTAAGTAAACGCAAATGCTCCGAGGTTTGATTGTTCTGAACTTGATCTCACATTGGATGATGTGCTCACAACTGATAATTTCTATTTTCTTTGTGTGCAAATTTTAATGAAATCAATAGTATTATTTCAGTCAGTAGTCATAAGCAATATAGGACCTATCATGCACATACATTGGACTAAGTTGTTTCATACATCAACACAACAAGATGGATTGGTCGACACAAATATTTAAGTAAGACTTTCAATTCATTTACTTTGATTTCATTGCTGCTGATGTAAAACAGGGCAAACTGAAGTAATGAATTTGTGGTCAAATCTTATATTTTTTTTATGACTGACTAATTAAATCACATCTTTACTAGTAAGAGTTCGGATAATTTCGTAGTTAACAGTAAACAAATTAGCGACTATTTGAATTCAAAAGGTAAGTGAATAACAAGTTAAAGTTTAAAGCGAAAAGTGTTAGGTTCACATTCCAATACAATACTTTCAGTTGACAAAGCACAAGTATAATGAAACGTTCATCTTAGATTTAACTATTAGCTACAACTTACTTGAAAAAAAAACCCACGGAAAAGTTACTCATGTCATTTTCTTTTTAGAATGTTTAAAGTTTATTGTTAACATCAATTCTTACTGCATGGTAGATAACATATTAGTAAAACAATGATACTTCAACGTTCAAATAATAAACAAACAATAATAGTAACAGAGCAATTCAAGGATAATTGAACACAGAAAAAAAATAATAAAAATAGGATATTAAAAGAAATATCACCGAGTACAACATTCACACACACACACACACACACACACACACACAGAGAGACACTGATGAACAGGAACAAAAATAAATAATCACAAGAAATGCGAAATAAAAAAGAAGAGAGTAAACTGACTTGATTCACACAACAGAATACTGCGTCGACACAAACACACGCACACATACATGGCGGTTGTGGTAATATTCCATGAAATGAAAGCAGAATTTCATAAATATTTTTAAAATAAATATTCAGTTACGAAGCTAATAGCATTGAAACTCAAGTTTAAAACAGATAGATATTTTTTATTGGACAGGAAAAAGAAAAACACATTTCAATTGCCTTCAAATAAATTTTGCACATTTGTTGAATCTAAGCATGATTTACCATCAAGACGATTAACTATATGTTTTTGTCCGTTTAACTGAAATTTATGTAAATAGAAAAAAGGAATATCACAATAAATCAATTATCAGTTTAGGGGTTGTGGAGATTGTTAAGTTTTTGATTGAGATCATGAACCGATTGATGTTAGACCACCATTGGAAACCTGGAAACACTGGACGGCCGCGTTCGCGCGCGAGACTGAAGGCCCTGGGTTCGAATCCCGCGAGCGGGATCGTGGATGCGCACTGCTGAGGAGCCCCACAATAGAACGAAACGGCCGTCCAGTGCTTTCAGGTTTTTAATGGTGGTCTAGCATCAATCGGTTCATGATCTCAATCAATAAATCAATTGTTAGATATAATATATTGTAAATAGGATAGTCGATAACACATCATCGAAAGGTAAAGTTTACACTAATACTATGTCATTACTGGTCATTAAAACAGTCAACAGATAAAATATGGATAAGTAACAACGTATGAAGAAATCATACATTCTGCTTTAGATTTGAACACAGTATGATCAAACTTGACTGATTGTACCGCGGTACAATAGTGCACCTTCAAACAATACTTCTCTTTCCATAACAGAAGGAAGAGGGTTATAAAAGGTCAACTCTTACTGCAGCACACCACATGGATTTTTGGTACAGGGAGTAAGGTCTGAAAAGCTAGTAGAGAGCTATTCACAAAAAATCAGTAACTAATCTCATTACATAGTCACTTCCAGGTTTGGAACGCAAAAGCTTTGTGGAATGGGGGAAAACAGTTGTTCACATGCCTCCAATAATATTTTAGACAGTTAAACTTTACAAGTGGTTCCCCGAAATATTAATGAAAAGATGAATGACGATTGTCACGAAGGTTACATCAATCAGTCGTTTGTGTTAGGATAACTCTTGGGGGGTATAGTTTCATATCATATATTTATAACTTTACCAGTAGTCTAACCAAGTTTAATTTCTTCTAGGATCTTTTCATATCGAGGAAGCAATATGATTTTCATTTCCCGGCATTTAAGTGCAGGTATCTAGGATTGACCCTAAACCAAATGAAAGTAGTTGTATCAAGGGGTTCGGAGATGAAAATCATTGATTAAAAGTAGTGTATTACAAAAAGAAAGCCATCCTCTTGCTTTCTTCCACCCACCCCCCGTCAAAAAAGAAAGAACAAAATATAACAAAAATGTACCTATAAATTGATTCTGAATAAAAATCATCATCAAAACTATAAGAAAACAATCAGCCATACGAAACAAACTCCACTTACAAATGATAATGATAGTAATGTAGGCAACTCTTTCACTTGATAAAGTGGATGAATTCGAAATTTGTTATTAGAATCATTCCACCTTGATACAAAAAGAAAATATAAAAAATGAATATATGTACGTTTACATATTACTTATTAATTTATCTAAAGTGATGATAAGATTTAAAGAAATATCAACCAATACTAAGTAAGGCAATGAATAGTTGACAGATACAAATCAGTTTATCTATTCATTATATATATATGAATTGACAAAATGCAGAGTCTTCTGACCACTATAAGCAACAATGCAAGCATGTTCGGGATGCGATTCTCTCCCTCGAAATGCTGCTTCAGGATTGGGTTGCATTGACACCCGAACTAATGATAGGGAGTGAAGTTATTGAGCGTGTCGATCGCTTCACTTATCTTGGAAGTCTCATCAGCCCTTGTGCTCTGGTATGTGACGAAATCTCAGCACGGATACAGAACGCTTGACTAGCTTTTGCCAACTTGCGCCAATTATGGCGTAGATGAGATATCCGTCTATTAACCAAAGGACGGGTTTACTGCGCAGCAGTTCGTTCCGTCCTACTTTATGGCAGTGAAACATGACCAATAAGAGTAGGGGATAATCGCAGTTTACCCGTATTCGATCATAGGTTTCTTCGAAACATTGCTCGTATATCCTGGAACCATCGAGTAAGTAACGCAGTTGTTAGGAAAAGGTCACTAGGTAAGGATGGCAAATCAATTAATGAAGTAGTGAAACTTCATCAGTTGAGATGGCTGGGACACGTGTTACGTATGCCCAACCACCGACTGCCCCAACGTGCGATGTTTTACGGTGTAGTAATAGGTTGGAAGAAAACTAGGGGTGGCCAGGCCAAAACATTGCACAATTCCATGAAGTCACTGACAAGTGCACTGAGCCATGTTGGTAGGTGTAGACGATAGCAACCGATGGTTAGAGACCCTGAATGACATGGCTCAAATTCATTTGCAATGGCGCAGTTGCATACACTCTTTGTTCTCCCAAATTCTAATCTTCTGAATTCTTCATGTCCCTTCTCTTTTCTTTCCAAATTTATTTCATTGGATTACACTCCTTGAATAACATCTTCAAACCCTAGTGTTTCCGATTAGTGCTGATACTTTCACTACCTCTACCACTATGGGATTTGAATCGATAACTGCATCTCTGTGCTGATATGGTATGGCAACTCGAACTGATGTACGTACTTACGAAGTTCCACGTTGTTACTGACTGACTGATTTGAATTGACCAAAGTTTCTCAATAACCCAACATGAATTATTTCCATATGAATGTTATTTCAGAGTGAATTGTATTTTTAGTAAAGAAATATTTGACTACTGTAATTTACATGATGACTTCTACAAACCACTTTGAAGCCATTGAAACCCTTCCAGAACTGATACCTAATGCTTTTAAAACTGTAACATTCTGTAAGACTTTTACAATAATTTGAAATTTTATGTAAAAACAATCAAAGTTTCAATCGAAAGGATGATTATTTTGTAATATGTTTAATTGGTGTGGGTTCGAAGTACAATCAATGTAAATCAACACAGAACAGTGAGTGAACTAAGGTTGTTCTTAAATAAAGTGAACGATTGGTTTCATGCCATACTAAATAGATTCAAGTTGGAAATACAGACTATTAGATGACCATTCGTCGATTGAGGTAGTAAGGAGAAGTTAAGAGGTGGCCAAATCAAATAATGGCATAATCCATAAAGCCATTGACTGTTGGTCTGAGCTATGTAGATAGATGCATATCACCTGGTCGGTGTCCGCGCGATGATCGTCATCAGTGGCTTAGGACTGGGTAACACGATTCCAAATCGTCCACAGTTGTACAGATGCATTTACTATCCATTTTTCCTCTCTATTTCGAATTCTCAAACTTCTTAATACATACATTCCCATGCCATGTTTTAAATAATATTTTCAGTCTTTCTTTTTATCATCGATTTTATACTACATCGATCTCTTTTGTTACCTTCACCTCGTTGTGCTAATGTGATATGGAAATCTGTGAAAGCGGACGTCTGTGTCAGGCCTTTATGTTAATGATATCTATCTGTCTATCTAGTCCTTAAAGTTGGATACTGTAACTATTGAACGATTGTTTCTGAAATAAAATTGCTCTATAAGACAACAATTTATACATAATTCTTAAGAAATTTTTTATAATTTCAAAAAAATTATCAGTTTAGTTTTTTTTTCTTCTTTAAAAAAGTTTATTGATCCATTCAACTAAACCGAGAATGCTATGAACAATCCGTCTTGATATAATGGACAAAACTGTACAACTAACAGCTTGTATCTACTCACATCACCAAAAGGAATGTATTTTACTACTAAATCGTCAAATCAGAATCAAGCAGCTAACCATTTCAAGTGTTCATTTTCGAATAATATAAGTTCAAATAAAAAACTAAGATAAAATAATGACAATTTCTTACTCCTTTTCGTTGCCAACTTCAACCATCAAAAATAAATCACTATCTTTAGTAACTCTAATCGTACTTTCTAGAATAGATTCACCTATGAATATAAGGAAAAAAGAAAAACACACAAATATTACTGATAAAAAGTTCAACATTTTAAACAAATTCTTTGTAGGTGTTATCGAAACACTCCTCATGTACCGTGGACTAAACGACTGAACGACATTGAGGTTTGATGTAGGCGAACAAAATAAAACGGTTGATAAGACTGAGAATATGCGTCGATTGAAGCGTCTGTATTATGTGTAACATGTACCGGGTTGTCCCTTACTTTGAATAGAGATATTGACTGAAGGGTAAAATTGGAAGAAAGCTAGAGGCAGCTAACTTAAAAAGGATTGAGAAATGTTGATAAATCTAAACTGCCCGATTGAAGTGCGTGCAATAACTGAGATCAGTAACTAAAGACGCTGGACAGCATGTTTTAGAATTATTCAAACAGACATACATCTACTCAACATGTAGCTTCGTACTGTAATGAGGTTCAATATTATTTGACACTATTTAGTCCATTCCTTCCTTCCGAGTTATATTCTTTATTCTTTTGCATCATCATTCATACAAATACGATTCAACTGATTTAGTATTCATCTCGTTAACTTTACCTCACTGAGGGGATTTACTATAGAAACTTGAGTAAACACACGAACCATACCACAACTATGTACTGGAATTTGATTAATCACTTATTTACATCATAGATGATATTGATCAAGAAATAATAATGAGATTATCAGTTAGAATGTTAATATATCAACAAAAGTCTCGTTAAAAGAACGACTATAACAGAACAAAACCTCATGAGTTGTTTAAGGAAATTGGAACAAAACATTTAAACAGAAAAATGAATACACCTATGACAGATAAAATAAAAAGTATCTTTGAATTACATATTCAATATAAAACTTACATTTACAACAATCCTCCGACCAACTATCCCCAGTGTTCATATCAGTTGAACCAGAAAAATAAACGAACACATGACGCCTATTTTGATGAGCTAATTCAATTTGACTAGCAAGTTCATCAATAGATTGAACTAATAATTGTTCTATAGGCATATTACTATAAACAAATAAACAAGAAAAAGATATGTTTGTTCTATGTTTTCATATCTATCAATCGCGGTAATTTAAATAAACAAAACTACAGTAACAACAATAAAATCACAAAAGAAGAATGTACTATATATATGATAGCGGTCGTTACTTCCCGGTTGTACATACGATGAAAATATACTTCCTGAGGTGCCTGAAAAGGAAACTAGCTTAAGAACGATCTTGACAACCTGACACGATGACCGTAATATCCAAAGAACAACTGCTTTGGAAAAGTCGCACAGTCTCTTTTAAACAATTTTATATGAATTAATCCCATACTTTTAGGATCTTATTTCTAGAAATGGAAATCCGTGGAATAAGAACAAGTGTTAATTTTAGGCTCTCTCATACAGTTGTAGAACAATACGACTGTGGATGCAGGTTATCTGAGGGAAATAATTAACTCCCATTACATCCCAGTATAATTGGCTGTACTGCTTCGCCCTCGAACTACGGGCTTGTTGTTTTTCCGTTTACCACTCTCCAACCAAAATAAAAGAGCCAATATTTCAGGCTATGTGGTCGTAATGATATGCAGACCCAGCCACCATATCACGTTAACAACCACAGTTTCAGTAGACGATGCTATGTATTAAAACATAATTGTCGACCAGGAACTCGTCTTTCTCGTGATTTACTGAAGATGTGAATCAGAAAATGATAATTTGATTATCATATCAATAACAATTTAAAAACGGTTTCAAGCATTTATTTCATTCAATAAAGCATCTCTATTTTATGATAACTACACAAGCTAAAAATGTAAAAAATAAATTTTGCAAAATTTAGAGATAAGCAATGTATTTTATGAAGAGATTTGTGCTTGAAAATATATAGGTTACTATTAACAAAAGAAGACAGTATATATATATGTATATACACCCAAACTTCAATAAACTTTCAACGAGGAAGCAATGAAGTATATACATCTACAGAACTGAAAAGGAATGATGAAGAGATAAATGTATGTATAGCCAAGAAATCTACGTGAATATTTAAAGAACTAGTGTTAAATGGGTTATTTTAAGACGTTGATACAAATTGTTACGTAAGTCACCGCTTATATAACTCCAATTATCAGAAGTAAACTTTATTTCAGAAAACACAGAACAGAAAATTGATGAGTGATTTAATATCAGAGAGAGAGAGAGAGAAGGAGAATGTACTGTGTAACATTAATAGAAATAATAGTAGTTTGAAAAGTCTATAGTTGACTATTTGTTTCTAACGATACCTATAAAAAGGTAATCGAAACATAAAGTGCTTTCTTTTATTCGTGATCGTTTCAACTTTTAGTTAGAGATAAAAGTGAACAAGAAATCAGGTTGATCCTATTGAATGATTCCTAAATTCATAAAGTACGCTTAATGATGCGTGTTAATCAATGTATTACTGTTTGAGATTAGGAGTATTCTAACATAGTTCAGTTTATAGTGATAAACTAACAATCATTAATTAAAAGTCTACTACGAAATATTTATTTATTTATTTAGTTTAACACAGATATTGGTATAAGGAGGCATCAAATACATATGCGCCACACATATCTCATTTGATATGAGCGAGGGCTGTGATACTGCCCGGGTGCCCAAACTGAAGCAGGTGATTTTCTTAGAGGGACACACCCCGAGCCTTTGACCTGAAGGTCTGATCCACAAGGCATTGGGGCCTCGTAAGGAGATGCAGTCCCATTGAAGCCGGTGACCCACAATTGGTTCATACACCATTTGTTCCCTCAGGATACTGGAGCCCATGTGCACCATTGGTTTGGAATCCGGTTAAAGCGCCGGACATTCGCTTTTCGTCCTCTCAATTCTGTGGACAACACCCCGAAAAATTCATTATTGTAAAAACACAAAAAACGAAGTAGAACGAACAAAAAGGTTTATCAGACGATAATTCAACATGAATATCCAATCAATAACAATAAGTAAACGACATAATACTTTTATTACTTAAAAACAAACTGATAGAACACTATGAACAATATTTGGTGTAACGAATATTCACTGAATACTGTTTTTATCGTTGTCAAAATAAGTAATTATAATATTAATTACAATATGAAAATTAATAAATTAACGGAAAATGTTAATTTTACTCAGTCAGCTACAACGTAGGATTCAGGCATATATATATACATCAGTCTAAGTTGCCACACCTCATTAGCAAAACAAGATGAACACTAAATTCATATAGATAGTTCAATGGTAGTAAAAAAAGATTGCATATAAGGATATGATACAGGTAGAAAGAATTAGTTCGTAGAAAGAAAGATATAAAGCAATTTCAATTTCACGGTTTAAGGGAGGACAACGAGTGTATACACCTACGCTACTGTGATCGATTTCGAGTCATGTCACCCAGATCCTCCAACCACTGTTTACGATAGTCACGCGAACTCCAACCAAGCAGTCTGCATCTACCAACATGGCTAAGACTAGAAGCTAGTGACTTTAAAGATTGATGCCACGTTTTGGTTTGGCCACCCTTAACTTCTAATTATTTTTAGTTAGTCAGTAGTCAAAGTTAATTTTGCTGTTAAAAGTAATTTAAAAAACATGCTATAAAATTGAAGAAATAAGTAAACTTGTATGACAATCTAACTATACGCATTTTAACTTCTTTAGAAAAAATAGTGTCAATGGAAGAACGACATAAGATCAGATGTTTATGTTCCAGTACAAATTATCAAATATCATATCAATGTATCGAAAGGAAAAAGCAAGATGAGAAACAATGTCAAAAGCAATAAAAGTTTAAACATGAGAATTACCAATATCAAAGATAGAAATGATATTTAAATCAAGATTTAGATAAGGAAAGAATAAATGCAATTGATTCACAGAGAGATTTTATATTATCGAACAGCATATCTAACCACTAATTACTAATACTAAGTGATCTCTACTTAGAAAACTCTTACTGACCAAAATAATTTAGATCAAAGGTCAATGACTTAGTGAACTAACCCCATATCTCGACTTATCCATCCTTACTGCTTTCTAACCTAATCACAAGTCGGAAAGTATTGTGCGTTTAAGCAGAGATCGGGCATATGTAATACGTATTTTAACCAATCTAATCAATGAAGTATTTTAGCTATATCACTGTTCTAGTACCATGCGCTTACTCCCAGAATCATTTATTTGATGGTTCAACCATATGCCTCGAAGATAGTTATGATAGAATACTTCCAGTCCATGTTTATTGTCTACTTCAATAAGGAACATTTTACAACCTTAAAGTAATATAGAAGGGAATTCTATGAAACAACTCACCAGGGCTAATGAAAATTCCAATATAAATGATTTGTTTTACAATAACTCACCAACATACATATGAAAAAATCATATTAGCATTTCAGAAAGATGAAAATTCCAAAATAAGTGAAGTTATTAATGAGCTGAACTACATCATTCACTATGGTGTTGCTAGAAATCGATGCTGACCAGTAGTCCTGAAATAACACATTGCATTTGAAAGGAAAGCAATATGGGTCACTACCAAGTGATTATTGAATTGTAAATACATTTAAGTCCTAAGAGAGGTCAGAAACGGCCCGGATGAGCAAGTAGTAACGTCTCTGACTGTGAAGATGGGTGACACAAAATTGAATCCACCGGAAAGCATCAATTCCTGAAGATAACAGATACACCTTGGTGTTGGTGAGTTTTAAACAGCACGAAACCTAGGTCCACGGTATCATGTCGACTACCTCTAACTACTGCCTTAAATCACAAACAAGTTTTAACAGAGTTTGGAGAATTTTGATCAAGATATTTCTACACAAAGTACTAATTTTATAGACTAAATGTAGATTGGAAATAATTAGTAGGTAAATAACCGGTGACCATTTTTAAACCTGTCTGATCACATGATTTGTTTTACAATAACTCACCAACATACATATGAACAAATCATATTAGCATCTCAGAAAGAACATGAAACTATGAATTTAAAAAAAAATTGACAAAAAAGAGATCAGTTTTTGCCCAACTACTAATACTCAATGAGTTTACAAACACACACACACACAGACAAACACATATAGGTATAGGTGAAAACATTGCCGATCATCAGGAATTATGAGATTGAAAACAACAACATAACAGATTGGAAAAAACAAAGTTCACAATTAAATGCATCATATATAATTTTCTATTTTTATAAAATAACAGAGGTATATATATATATATAATTATTGCTGTTAATAATAAGAATTAAAAGTAACAATGTCGGTATTGAACAATCCATAATTATCCTTCCTAATTATCAAAACAATTTGTTGTCATATGAATATAAATATATATAATATAGACAATATTTACTATGAATTAAGTAAATAAATTAAGAAATAAATATTTATTTATGCTGTTCAAATGTAATGGCAATAGTCATAGTCATAGTAATAACAGTGGTAATGATACTCCTGCTGCTAATGATGATGATGTACACACATAATTGGCTGAAACATTGGACAATTTTCAAGTACACTTTCAAGCGAAACTGATATGAGAGAAAATGATGATTTTTTTTTCAAGCATTAATGATAAATGGACAATACTCTAAACTGATGTATTGTAGCACATATCAACAACCGGTTGACACACACACACACATACACAAATATATATATAAATATCATTAGAGTGAAACAATTGTTAACGATGAATAAGGAGAAAAATAAATCAATCAAATTGTGACAAAGTACAATGATTCATATATATGCGAAAGTGAACGTTTAAACCATGACAATGTTCACGAACAAAACAATATTAGGAAAATTATTATGCATGCAATTTATAATACAATATATATATATCATATATATGCATGTCTATTTAGAATAATCTCTGAACATTGAAAAGATAAAGTTTTAAAATAAATTGAATAATACATCGAATTAGTAGGAGGAGTAGTATTAGTGACAGTATGTACATTATGAGATTGGAAAAATCAACTATTAAAGTGTTAAATATACACAAGAGAATATAACTTTACAAATAATGATTCAAAATAGTCTCCTTTCTTTTTGTAATGATCTTGTCATTACTATTTCATTTTCATAATACTTACTATTCATAAAGATAGTTTAACAATGTGAAATTTATGTATAAAAAAAGAACCCTATGAAATGGTAGGGGGGGGGGTTTGAGGGCTTTAGGAATTAACAACACCGTTACATCTTGTTTACAACAATAAAACATATTTTTTTTCACAATTGTGTCTAGTTAAGTACAGGAAAACGAGTAAAAAGAATATTCTCAGTTGTGCATATGACAAACACACACACACATTGAGTAAATGGGCGAACTACTAATTGAAATAACATTAAAATATTGAATCATTGCTCTTGTCCCTCCCCCACATAAAAACCCCAAGAATTACATCATAAATTATGATGATCCAATTAAAACTGTGGAAAATGAAAATTAGGAAACGCTTGTGAATGTAAATGATTAAACATTGAAGAAGAAGCAGCGGCAGCGGCAACCGGAGACGAAGATACAGAAGCAACAGCCGAGCCTGGTAATGTATGATGATGTGATGATTGACTACGTTCAACAAAACCAATATTTTGCTGTTGTTGTTGACGTTGTTGTAACAACAATTGTTGTTGATGAGGTTGATGTTGTTCTTTAGCAACAGCAGCCAATTGAAATTGTTGATAATGTACAGTTGGATCAAACGATGTTCTTAAATTGGATAGATTTCTTTCTGGACTAGTTTGATGATTATGTGCAGAATTACTGTTATTATTATTATTCTGTTTGATGATATTCATATGATTTTGACTATTTTGAGCTAAATATTGTTGCATTGCTGCAGCGACAGCATGAGATGGAGTTTGTTCACCACCAAACCCTGCTCGTTGTAAATCTAATGAACATGATGGAGATGATAATTGTGGACGTTGATTTGTTAATTGTGTAAAATAATCCTGCATCATAGATACATGACTTTGTAAAGTATTCACCTGATGATGACCAGATGATAAATTAAGATGTTGGGCATGATTGTTATTAGTAGCACTAGTAGTATTACTGTCATTATTGATATTGTTGATTCGTGTCGGGTTTTGATAAGTGGACTGGTATGAAGAATTACTAGGATTAGTGTTGTTAGAAACTGTAGCAGACAGGGCCGATTGTCGTGCAACATCTTCAGCAGTACGTAAATACTGATGTTGTTGTTGTAATTGACGATGAGCAGATGATAAAGCGGATGAGGATGGTGCTGAGGAGGAAGAAACATTTTGTGTCTGGTAGTACGGTACACTAACAGTTGTTTGATAATTAACAGCTGATGGAAAATTTTTTTTATTATTAACATGATCGGACTGAAATGATTCTGAAGGAGTAGTACAGTTAGTAAAAGGTCTAAATCTGGAAGATTGCACATTCGGATCACTATTTGTCGGTGAACTAGAAATAGTAGTTCTTACTGAAGTGTTTATATTCGATGAATTTAAACGACAAGTGCAACCTGTGGCAATAGTACGTCCGCATGTTAAGCATGGCCAAGACAATTCAACCTGTTGTGTACGCTGCACATGAGCTCGGAAAGGATCCTGAGAAGAAAATGTTTGATTAGGATAGGTTATACTTGTGTTATTGTGATCTTCTTTAGCACTACTACTACTACTACTAGTAGTAGTAGTATCACGCCGGTTCAACATTCGATGTTGATAATTAGACGATTCTGCATCGTAGGATTGTCGGGAGTCTTTGGTGCTCGGATCAAAAGTAAACGTTTCATTTGATGAATGAGCACGTTTTGGAGAAACATTAGATTGTAAGAAATGTGAATCTTTTGAATAACCTAACCTACCACTATCTGAAGCTGAATTCGCTACACTGGTAGATGGTTGAAAAGTATTTGTATTAGACTGATTATATGACTGAGAATAATTAAAAGGTTGACTGTTAGAATAAGTCACAGACGAATTAGGAACATTATTTTCTGATTTATTATTCAAATTATTGTATCTGGAGATATTAGAATCAGAATTATTTGTTGAATAAGATGATTTCTGAAGTGTCTGAGAATGTTGTCGATTGTTTTCATACGATGAACCAAACGTCCCAGGAAGTGTAATATCAGAATTATCTGCTGAACTAGTAGTAGTAGTAGTAGTAGTAATAGAAGCAGTGGTAGCAGTAGCGACTGTGGATCGTAAATTATTAGAAGAGTTTCGACAAGTAGTATTTGAATTCACTGTATCACTGGAGGTTATTTGTTTGTCAGTAGTAGTGGTAGCAGTATTACTTTCTTGTCCATCCAAAGAAGGAGTATTATTTTCAGTAGAAAGTGAATTACTATTTGTTGTTCCACTGGTTTTTACAATAAACAAATCACCAGTTCGACTAATACGTAAATATTTCGCTTTTGGAGTTTGTATCACCTCGAGTACTTCACCTTTAGGAATTTTACGTTGTGTAGTCGTTGCGTTTGTTGTGGATGGGAAAAATAAATCTACAAACCAGAGAAATAAATATGATGAAAATAATTCATAATTTTAAAAATTCCGTTGGATTTATTTTTATGAATAGAAGAGACCCAAGATATATACCTACAGTTTGTTTGGAATGTCATACTGGATTTAACAATAGATCCAGTAGCTCGGAAATTAACCCAGTTCATTATTAATATATACAGTTACGAAGCAACTTAACGAGATATACTTATTGGGCGATAGAAACAGTATCAAATAAGCATGGAATCAGTAGAACGTGAATAGGATGGTGAATTGTAATCTAGATGACATGGATAATACGCGAGAGGAAGTATCTTGTAAGCTGGTCAAATGAGATGAAGTGATTTAAAACTGATCATAATACTGAAAATTGTATCATCCTGTTTGTTAATCCACTTACCTATGTTACAGTTTATATTGCAAAATAATTTTAATTAGATAACCGGTGAAATTTAGGAAACATCCATTTTTTTTATGTGATTCCTTAAAAGTGTGAATCAGCAAATTTTATTTCTAATTATCAACAAAAACTTGTGTTCATTAATGTAAACACTTATTTAATTACACATGTATCAGTTATTGTATAGATTCCTTCAAGAAAATATGCAATCATAACATTTGATGATCAAATTTTTTTTTAGATTTCTTACTTCATTATGCTCATACATTCACTTCTGACCAATTTCATTTATGAAAATCTATGCTAAATACGATTTATAATTTTAACATTTAAATATTACAACAATTGAGATCATGAGTCAATTGAAGGTAGTCCACCATGGAAAACCTAGAAGCAATGGACGGCCGTTTCGTCCCATTGTGAGACTCCTCAGCAGTGCGCATCCACGATCCCGCCTCGCAGGATTCGAACCCAGGACCTCAGTCTCGCGCCAGGCGCTAAACCAACTAGACCACTGAGCCGGCGTCCAACGGTGTTAATGTCTAACTTCAACTAATCCACGAAATTGAGCGACACATCCACTACTGTCATCAGTGAGTTACTACCTCACAACTGAGCCGGTTGAATATTAGTTAGGATGAACAGTCGATGTGAATCTAACGAAATGACATAAATCATTAAGTTATTCTCAATCCAAATTGTGGTTCTTACATTCTTTATTTAATCATAAAATTGTAAAACTCATAAAATATATAATCATATAGTTGACTTTGAGTCTTCTAGAGGTACCTGAAAAGAAAATTGGGTGAAGGTGGTCTTAGTGACCTGTGAACGTGACCACAGTGCGCTCAAGGGACAACTGCTTGAGGTCGGTCACACACAACATTTTTGTAGGTGATTTTCGTGTTGGCTCCGTACGTGTTGAGACCTTACCGCCGGAGACGGATATCCGTAGGATAAGGTGAGGTGTGCATTTTTAGGGTCGACTTTTTCTAAACCCAGCCCTCCTTATGGGAAGACAACTAAGCTGTTATGCTTATTGTCTGAAGGAAACACCTTACTGCTGTCACACCTCTGTGCAGTCACCAGTACCACTTCGCCTTCGGACCTTGAGTTTGTTGATTTTAGTCTTACCGCTCCTCAACCGACCTGTGTGGCATGACAGGACCTTGAGGAACGATTGTTCCAGCCAGTATAGCTCAATTGGTTGATCACGATAGGCAAGTCCGACCACCACATCAAGGTAGCAGCAACGGTCGGGACTTTGAGTTACACTTCATATACACGTATGAACTGGTTATAATGTCTGACCGTCAAATCACAAAAACATAGACAGTCGAACTGTAACTCGTGACTTGGATAGTCAAGAGGAAAATTCTAGAAGTCTGTAAATTTGTCACACGTCTACAGATCAAATATTTTTTAAAGTATGGAAATACTTCCTGTTATCAAATACAATAAAGAATCATATGGGCGATAACGTAGATATTAGATACGTATATATATAGTAGTAAAACGTTACATCGGCACGATCAATAAGAGAGGAAATAAAAAAGACCCCAAAAATAGTTGAATAGAATGAAAGTTCCACGAGCAACTAATTGAGTCACAAATTTTGGATTGAATTATGCAGTCCAACTAGTGGACGATGTGACTGGAAAGGACTGGGAAATTAAGAGAAAACTGATTGGTCTCTGTCACCTAAACATGGTATTTATTGTCATTACACAATATAATTATGAGAAATCCACAAATCCCAGGGACACAGTCATAGAGCCTGTGTATAACTATAAATGCTGTCAAAAAGCAATTTTATGGAAACATGTAGATACATTTTAATAATCGACAATTAGAATCATTTATGAACTTTAAAAAGTGTAAATGACAATGATGGTGACAATTTCAGTTGTAGTGAACGCTATTGATGTTGTCGTATTTTCTCACTTGAATAGTATAGTTACAGAGTTTTCGTTAATGTTCAAGATAATATCAATTAACTATGTCAATTTTGTATCCATAATTAAACCATCTAGCTCAGAGAACTAAACAATAAAAAAGAATGGAGATTTCTGTAAAATACGATTCAGTTATTATCAATTATGTTCCGTTCCTTCTACATATCGATCAAGTGAACAATTATATCATAAAATTCTGATCGTTAAATTATTTTTATTATCATCCTATTATTCTTAAACCTAATTTATATATCATTACGTAACCACTTTTTTTTGGATAAGTGAAATCTTCATTTTATGATGTAATTTCTTCTATACTGAATTATTTTTATTTCTTTTTAAATTGTCTATATATTTTATTACATTGCATCTCATTGTTTGTTGGTGAGTTCGAAAGATCAACTACAGTTTAGTATAATTCTGTGAACGATATAAATGTTAGATATGATCAGTTATCAATACTAGATCTTACGAAAATTTTCTAGAAATTTCCAAAATATTTCGCAACTGTGTGTGTGTGTGTAAAATTATCCCTACAAAGTCTCATCTTTTCCAATCCAAAACTTGATCGTACCAAGTGACATGTCGCATTAAGTGTATGTGGATGCTTTTTTAGAGCTGAAGAATAGAGGGAAGAAATATTAATCCCCAAGTAGTTTTTTCTTCAGGACTCTACCCTCATATAGATCGATAAGATAAGATCGATACTAAATCGAGTGTTGTTACATAGCAATATTACTAATTCAGAAGTGTTTATGAAAATAAATACGAGTGATTAAACAAATTATAAGATGAGTTGGATTAAGTGATTAACATCCGGAAAGATATTCATTAATAAATAAATGGATTAGAAAATGCAGTTTGTGGAATTGGCAGATCGCATAAGACAATTAACAAAGTGAATGGTGACGACAATTGCGTAAGAATGAAGAGATATATCCGATAATTATGAAAAAGCAAGAACGCAAACGAAATTAAAAAAAAACTTTGGTAGCAAAGGAAGAACGAACAATAAGTCATTTCCAAATAACTTTAGAGTCTACCAAGTTGATGTACAAGGGAATGATTTTATAAAATTATTATGAATGTATAAGTTTATTTTACTAAGATGGATACCGATAGCTTCCGCCTTATGCAAACAGTGTAAATGCGAATTGCAAACAAATTATAAGGTGTCTGTTCATAGCCGCGAAGTTCGTTTAGCAGTAAATGTGGAAAAATGACTCTTGTTTTCATTTTATCCTTCTGATGAAAATAGATACTAACTTATTCGGACACATGAAGAATTTAGATTTACAAAAGGTGTGAGTTGTTGATATACACTAGTATCAATTAGTACAATGACGCTTAATTCGTTAGTTGATCAACTACAAAAATCGCTAGTGTTAACATACACTAGTTGTTCAAAAGAATAACAAGAATCATATGAGAACATGAAAAGAAACTCAACCAAATGCATACAATCTCAGTAACCGACGCGGACACTATAAAACGATACGAATCATCTACACTTATGCAATACAGTACATAAAAGCTTAGACTTAACTAATCTACAACGATAGGGATAGAAAGGCGTGCAAATAAAAAAGACTAAAAGTCACATGAACTTTACACAATTCCCGGTGTTCATTTTGTAGAACATTGAACATTACAAAAGGGGACAATAGTATCAACATTTTCCTAACCAATAGTAACCTACTTTTAATATCCTATGCACATCAAATTACTCCCATGCTATGACAATCAACATTTCAGTTAAAACCCTTTTTATAATGTTAATATTTTTTATGTAGATGCTGTGAAGAGTTTGAACAATGAACAGATAAATTTCCGGTGCTTATTTCACACTTTTTTCAAACATTTTGTCAACTTTATATTCCACTGATTGAAATCATGAGTCAACTGAAGTTAGAAAACCTAGACGGCCGTTTCGTCCTAGTATGGGACTTTTCAGCAGCGCGCATCCACGATCCCGCACCCCGCGAGATTCAAACACAGGACCTATCAGTCTCGCGCCAGGCACTTAACCAACTAGACCACTGAACCGGCATTCAACGGTGTTAATGTCTAACTTCAACCAATCCACGAAGTTGCGCCACCGTACACCATTGTCTTCAGTGAGTTGATATCTCACAACAGATTTGGTAACTGCTTCTCACTAGAACTCCAGGAGTATCTCTTGAAGTCAGTCACTAGTGAGCAGATGATTGTTATCAGAAGTGGTTTTGTGGAGATTTTAGGAATTTCAACAGTTGAGATCATGAGTTGTGAGATAGTAACTCACTGATGACAATGGTGGATGTGTCGCTCAATTTCGTGGATTAGTTGAAGTTAGACATTAACACCGTTGGATGCCGACCAGCTCAGTGGTCTAGTTGGTTAAGCGCCTGGCGCGAGACTGATAGATCCTGGGTTCGGACCACGCGGGGTGTGGGAACGTGGATACGCGCTGCTGAGGGGTCCGATACTAGAACGAAACGGCCGTCCATTGCTTCTAGGTTTTCCACGGTAGTCTAGCTTCAATTGACTCATGATTTCAGTCAGTGGAATTCCTAAAATCTTCACAAAACCCCTTCTGATAACTTTATATTCGACTATGGCGTAGTTGGTTTATAGTTATCAGATGTCTCGGAGATAAAACCTGATTTACTTCATTAGCTATGCTGTGGCGAAAATCCAGATTTCTTCACATGAGTCCAGTGTGATAACACCCCAACCTGATTATTAGTAATATCTGTTTTCTAAAAGTGATTCATATTATTGATCAGTAACCTCTCTAGTCAGTTATCTATGTCGACTGATTATTCTATCAGAATCCATCCACTGTTGAGTTAGAAAAAAACTCTAATGGGCGACTGTCGAATGCACACGATCTTGTGATGGAGTTTTGTCCTCTGGACAGGATGACTTAATAGTATAGCTTTCATTGTTCTTCTGAACAATATCATCAGCAAAAAATTAATTTAGAAGTGAAATATTTGAAACTTCCTACATACGACTAATGGCATATGCTTTCAACCTCAATCTTGATTGGTTATTGCTGAACTTTAACTTGTCATTGTCTGGGTCTTAGTCTTAAATGTCTCTGATCTGGTTTTCTATCCTATGAAATCTCCACAACTAAACCACTTAATTTAGAGAACAGGAAATCACCAAAATCATCCATATGAGCTGCTTATCTTCTCCACCATTTTAAAATCATAAGATAATTTATTGAAGTAATAACAGTAGTAATCAAATATTTTTTTAGTGGTAAAAAAAGAATACACTTGCACACAATAACTGCATTATTTTGAATTAGAATGATCTGTATATTTTAGTAATTGTGAAAAGCGACTGGAAGGGATCACTCGATCTTAGCAAAGTATATAATTTCTAATACAATAGATAAGTACCATTTCCATTTTTCACAGTTGCAAAGATAAAAAAATCATTGACCATTCGTATAAATAATTAAATAAACCGCAAATAAACCAACTCTGCCGAGAGCCTTTCTAGTGCTACTGCTGGTCCCAAGCCCACACAAAGGAGGGTTGGGCATAGGGTCAACAATCCCATCACCTAGGAAAAGCTAACTAGAATAAACGATTTAAACTGTGTCCTGGGAGTTGAAGGGAGAACTATGAGATCTCATGATGAAAGCCGAGATTCTTCGGAAGCCACGAGGTCGATGTCCCTTCTAAAAACCAGAGACACAATTAATATAGGTACGTGGAATGTTCGAACAATGTAGGAGACCGGGAGGACCAGTCAATTAGCTACGGAAATGATGAGATACAACTAGGCGGTTCTCAGAATCAGTGAAACCCATTTGACCCAAGCTGGATAGCAAAAGTTAGGAACGGGAGAGAAACTACTGTACTCCGGTCACGAAGAGGGAAATGCTCCCCACACTTAGGAAGTTGCTATGATGCTGTACAAAGAAGCAAGAAATGCACCGATTGGGTGGGAATATCATGTATCCAGGATCATCAAAGTGACCTTTAAAATAAAGGAGGGAACTACAATGAATGTTATACAATGTTAAGCACCCACCAATGATAGCAATAATGACGTTAAAGATCAGTTTTAAGAGAGGCTGTAAGGAGCTGATATTTGGAGAACTATCAAAACAATCATCAAAAAGGTACAAGTATTTATGAACAATTGTCTACACAAAATACTCGATGACCGTTGACCGGATACCATCAGCAACAACCTACTGTGCGAGAAAACAAACCAGGCTTCAGCTGAAGAGGAAATCAGGAAAAGACGATGAAAGTGGATGGGACATACATTACGGAAATCAACAAACTGCATCACGAGGCAAGCACTGACTTGTAATCGTGAATGGAAACTGAGAGGAGGAAGGTGAGAGAACACACTGCATGGGGAATCGGAAGCAGACATGAAAAGAATGAACAGTAGCTGGAAGGGATTTTCCAGTACAGAGTTCGATGGAGAATGCTGATGGGCGGTCTGTGTTCCTCCACGATAGGTAAGTAAATAAGTACACTACGTAAGATAAATATTAGTGTTTCAAATGTATCGACAAAAAATGAAATGTACTTGGATTGATTTCAGAATAAAATTATTTCTATCAAGGCAGTGAACCCTATGAAATGGCAACATCTAGAGAATACTAGAAGTTTTGAGTTTCTGACCAGTGGAGTTAGGAAAATTCTAAAGCCTGGAGGTGAGGGCTTCACCTATATACAATACAGAGTAACTTTGATCAATTCCTTAATTCAATAAACATAGAAAATTGTCCAGATTGATTGCGGGCTACTGAGGCATCCAGACAATTTAAAAAGAAATAATAATTTAATTGCCTTTGGTTTTCAAAAGTTCTTTAATTGACAACAGTTCTTGATGCAATATTAAATGCAAATAGTCTTTTATTTGCATTCACACTTGTAATCAAGGTTACGAATTATTGTAACAGGCTAAGATTAAATCGATTATGAAGAAATGAATGTCGTTCATTGAACAATATAACTTACGATGATTGTTAGATTAGTAATAAAGAGTTCAATAGAAGATTAAACTTAAGTTGGGTAATACATTTTGAAAAAGAAATCGTTTCAACTATTATTATTATTACTACAGTATTTTAGGAACATGTATTAATTAAAGACTATAAGTGGTTTGGAACCATGGAGTCGTTTAATGTTACTAATTCATGAATAAAATTTCGTCAATAATCAAAAACAGTGGAAACATGACAGAATAGCACTAGTTAAACTACTCAGAAAAAGATATTTAAAGAGACTAGACAATCAACAAGTTGGTCAGGAGAGAAAAATTAACATGATAATTTATATTAGGGTACCAAAAACTGTTGAAAAACTTGTGAAAATGTGCAGGGACTTGGATTAACATTATTTTAAAACTTGACAACAATGGTAGTTGACAGCTTGGACTACTTAGATTATCTCAGGACGAGATGGTGCCTGATAATAGAGATGTGTCATTGTGTCAAAAAATGAGGAATGAACTGCAGATCGCTTGATATTAATTCATAGTTGCAAAATATGGCCTATGAAGGCATTTCACCAAACATGTCTTCGAAGCGCCGCTTGTGTACAAAGGAATCAATGTTAGTTGTAATAGGGTGAGTTATGGGGTTACAAACCTTAATAAACTCAAGCGGCTAAAATAAATACTACACTACTAGCCATTATGTATATCAATCTGCAATGCTGACTGGCATATGAGTAAACTGTGTGAAAGTTATAAATGATCGGACCAAGATATGGTTAAATTTCATGAAGCTAATTAATACTCACTCGAATTTCATTAGAAGATACAAACTTCTTTAAATCGACCACTACTTAATGATGGGTCAATGGAAATAAATGTCATCTATGATTGAAGATGTATGTATTTTTTTAACCTTCGTTTAAATCGTGATTCTTGCAATATTTTTTACTATCATTGAAGTTATTCAGAATATTAGTTTGTTCTTGTTGTATTGGTTTGAAGTGTACAAACATTGTATCAGATCCTTAAATGTTGTTTATGACTGACCACTGTTTCTGCCTTGGAAATACTAAATACATGAATGATGAGTTATGAAATGTATTAACCAAAAGTTTACTTAAGCTCGATTCGAATTAGTAGCTATTGAAATGAAAAAAATGTTCACAAAACTATTCAACTCATCGACAGTCTACCAAACTTCGTGAGAGTTTTGTAGTGAGATGTCGCAGCGCAGAAAAAAAAGTTGAAACGATATCAAAATAGTAAATGCTTTATTTTTCCCCACAAAATAAGCTTTTAAAATCATTAACAGAATTATAGAGCATATTCAAAATATTCACAAACGTGTGTAGTTGAGTTACTCACCAGTATTAGCTACAATCCTTGTCACTTTACAATCAGGAGATTCAATTATTTTACCTACAGGAAGAAAAGATAAAGTGATATTGGTAATGAAGTAAAACATATCACTGAATATACATGAAAAGTTTTGATAATCTATAAATGTGTTGAGTTTATTACAAAGTAACAATAGGTGATAAATACGTACCCATATGATGTGACAGAATCGAAAGAGAAAACTTAAGTCAGTATGAAAAATGACCAATATTATGGCAAATATGTGTTCACATAGTAAGTTACTAACTGACTGATGTTAAATACTAATCAGTTTACATATTCAAATGTTGATCTGATCATATGAAAATTAGTTTATTCAGATGACAGTTCGATTTATTCCCAGGGTCAACCAAATCCATATTGTCAGTCTTTGGGTTTTCACTACGAGTTGTCGAATTTTGGGTCGCCAGTATCAAGCACAAGTCAATTAAATATACCAGAAATTACAAGTGACAGACATAACAAAAAGACTCTGTATTTTCAGACCTAAGCATACATGTTGAACGGATTTTGTTGTAATGACCGACATGTGAACTAACCCATATATTGCTGTCAATGCTATTCGTGATTAATTATTTTACTCAACATAAGTATTATAAATAGCCAATCGCCAATCTATCTTAATACGTAGGTCGGAAACTAGGAATGATCAAAGGAAGATGTGATATTAGTTCATGAAATCATCGATAGTTAAACAGAGTCATGATGGTGGTAGATGTAAATAATATGGCCAATGTTCGAGAGATAAACGTGACCAATGGAAGAAAATGTTACATAATATGAAGTGAAATCGATGACTGACAATCAGTCACAACACAGAGCCTGTACGTATGTACATCAGTCAAAGTTGCCATACCTCAGCAGCACAGAAGGCTGAATCCTAGAAAACTAGAGATCAATAAGTCAGTAAATGTAGAACTTCGTAGGTACGTACATCAGTTCGAGTTGCCATACCACATCGCATTAGCATAGAGATGCAGTTATCGATTCAAATCCCATAGTGGTAGAGGTAGTAAGATTATAAGCAGTAATCGGAAACACTAGGGTTTCAAGATGTTATTCAAGGAGTATAGTCCAATGAAATAAATTTGAAAAGAGAAAGGGATATGAAGAATTCACAAGATTATTATTTGGGAGAACACAAAGAGTGGATGCTCCTGCTTTATTACAAACGATTTTGAGCCATGTCATTCAGGGTCTCTAACCATCGGTTGCTATCGTATCGCGGATCCCAACCAGGTAATCTACACCTACCAACAGGACTCAGTTCACTTGTCAATGACTTCATGGATTTGTGCCATGTTTTGGTCTGACCGCCCCTAGCTCCGTTCCAACCTATTATTACACCATATAACATTGCACGTCGGGGCAGTCGTTGGTTGGGCATACGTAACACGTGTCCCAGCCAACTGATGAAGTTTCACTACTTCATCAATTGATTTGCCATCCTTACCTAGTACCAGTGGCAACAGGAAAGATTATGCATCGAAGATCAGATTCAAGAAGAAATATAAATTATTGGAATAAAAACAAAAAGGTTGAGGGATTTGGAATCTCGGAATTTTGGGGGAAGTTAAAATGTAGGGGCTGGTACTGTGTCAAGCCCACATAGATTATTCTAGCCTCCGGACAGACCGATCTATTCATTCTTCTCAAGCCATATTTTTACTCTGTCACTTATTCGATTATTAACCCTGTTTTATGTACGAGCATGTGTGTATATTGTTTATCTTATTCATTACATGTCTGTAGCTTATTTTGATCTAGCTATAAATATAGATTCACGCTTGGTTAAACCGATTTGGCTAACGTGCCTTCATCTATTCGTTGCGTTTCTCTGAAAGTTTGTCTGGATCAACATACTTGTTTGAAATTCGTTCTCATATTCGACTTATTTAATTCCTTTTCAATAATTTCTCATCAGGTTCTACAATTATAAATCCAAATTAATAATCCATAAAATTGGCCAGATTTAAGACAAAGTACATCATTTGGAAATTGTAATATGTGAATTGAGAATTGTTTTAATGCGGGTAAACTACAACCGATGTTCTCCACACGACCAATAATCACTCCGAGGTTGAAAGATAAATTACCTAGACTAGCCACCTCCTTCTGTATTTATCAATTCAACTGCTCGTGTGGAGCAAGTTATATTGGCAGATGTTCTAGGAATCTGCGCATTCGAGCTCGTCAGCACCTCCCCGTGTGGTTAAGCAAAGGTGTAGTCAGAACTGTTAACAACCCCATCTTAGACCATCTTGTTCAAATAGGACATACAGCCAATATGGAGCACTTTTTGCAATAATCTATTGTGTTAACAACAGTCTACCTAATTCCATCAGACTGCGAATCCCACAGACTGCTGAAGCAGTTGCGATTCGGATCAAAAACCCAGAGCTTTGCATCCAAAAGAGGTATGTTCAGCCACTCCTTTTACCCTGGCCAACTAGTTAATAATTAATTTTATAATGTGGTGGCGTAATCTGAATAATGTTCATTTTATGCCCCAAACTTATTATTATTATCTTTACACTTGATAACCTTTTGAGGAATTCAATTAGTATCCAGCCTTATCTACTATATCTGACCTAATTCATATTATTCTACATGTTACGTAATTTCCGATTTTATTCCATTAGTTTCTTTCTCACCCCATATTGACCATATTTATTCTGATCATGATTTATCTCACAATTTCATTTCACTTATAAACTGATTCAAGTTAACACTATATTAAACAGCCCTAACATTAACAATTTGATTTGATTTTATGTAACAAACAACAATTCTCAATTCACATATTCACAATTTCCAAATGATGTACTCTCTGCCTTAAATCTGGCCAATTTTATGGATTTAGATGGTGGTTGGAGGTAGTCAACAGGAAACCCTGGACCCGGGTTTCCTGTTGACTACCTCCAACCACCATCTAAATCTCAATACATAGTGCCCGCGGTGTCGAGTCACCTAGACTGGTGGCCACATTGCAACATGATCGATAGCATTCGATCTGCACTAATAAGGACTAGACAAGCATAACATTGATCACCACCCAGTGATCAATCAATTGTAACTTTATGGATTATTAATTTGAATTTATAATTGTAGAAGCTTATATGAAATTCATTGAAAAGAATATTCTTCGTTCATACAATTGTGTTTAATTATGATGGGAATTTTCCAGCGATTATTTAATTCCGTTATTCACTAACGAGATTTGAGTCGATGATTACATACGAGGATTGGCGGCATATATATTTCGATGACAATTATCATATGATCTAACTAAAGTCAGATAAAGGGTCACACAAAAAAGAATGCATGCACGTGTTCCATTGCAATCGATTTCGAGCCAAGCCATTCAGCTTTTAACCATTGATTATGATAATCACCAGTACACTAACCAGATAGTCTACATCTATTAACCAATTGTCTGTGACTTCATGTACTGATAACGCATTATGGAATGGCCGTTCCTAGCTTTTTTCTATCCTACTCCACTGGGAAACATCGGCCGTCGAGGTAGGCGGTGGGTGGGCATACGTAACACGTGTCCCTATCACCTCAGTTAATGGAGATTTATTAACTTAACAGTCGATTTGCCATCTTTACCTAGTACTCTATTCCTAACCCATGTATTGTTTACTCCATGGTCCAGAAATACACGAGCAATGATTCGAAGGTACACATGATCGAATACCAGTGACCTACGAATATTCTTTACCTGCAATGGCCATTTTTCACATCCATAAAGTAGTAAGGAGCAAACTGCTATGCAATAAACTTGTCCTTTCGTTGGAAAACGGCTATCTCACATATGTCACAAGTGACGCACTGTGGTGAAAACCAATCGAGCCTTCTGAATTCGTGTGGAGATTTCTTTAAACATCAGACTATCAAGGCTAATGAAACTCTCAAGATAAGTGAGGTGGTCTTTGTGTTTAACTACTTCACTCTCTATCACTAATTCAGGCTATGAATCAAACCAATCCTGAAGTAACATTTTACATTGGAGGGAGAGAACCGCATTCCAAATATGTTTGCATTGTTGCTTAAGGTGGTCAGAAGATTCTTTACTAAACAGAACTATATCGTCTGCGTGTTCTAAGTCAGCAAGTGAATGTACATTCAAGTTTAATGCTGATTACAACTAACTAACCGAACGATTGACTGACTACTATATGCTTCCCTTAAGTACGTTTTATGAATCAAGTGGAATCATCTCCTATATTTTTTGTAAGTAATATGTTTGAAAATATGGATTTCGGGATTTTCTTCCTGTCAGTTTTTTTTTTACGTTGAATGTTCTTTGTTGATCCTGACTAAAAAAAATTTATCTTAATAAATAGCATTATTTTTGTAATTATACATCATTCGAAATATGGAGACAATCCTCTAAATATACATTTAAGCACCAGTGGATATATTCGTACAAACAATGACTGATATGGAAAATTAAACTGTACTATGAAAACTTAACAGAGCCTTTGATTACTGCGATTTATATTGAGAAAAAAGTATGAAGTAAACTTCTGCAATTTAATCATCATTGTACAGTATAATTTATAATTAGATTTGTTGAACAGGAGAACCACTTATCATAGACTGTTACAGTGGATTACGCGCGTTTTAATTACCTGATAGAGGAGCAGGAGGTATGATTTTCTGAGAAGTGTAAACAAGTAGAAAAACTAGATTTAAGGATCTTTGTCGATGTTCCGCAGACATGTTGGTTTGTCGAATAAAAACCTACTTTTATAGGCAGCTAACTTGTCTTTTGATACCAATTTAATTGAGATTTGCAGGGTGAATTTGTAAACCAGTTTTGTGAGAAAACGTTATTCGATCATTGCATATTAAAAACCGACAGCCCTATTTCAACTATTGACATAACTATTCCCAAAGATCCTTTCATTATAAATTATATAATTAATTCATAACACCTGACAGCTATGACTTGACAAAAAAAGTTTGAAAAGATAGTTCGAAAACACGGGAGATATATAAAAAGATAAAAACCACAAGAAAACTATGTTTGGAATCAATGCAAAACAAACTTACTTAGACCATCAGGTTTTGCGTAACCACAACGTCGACGTGCTTCATCTAAGTCTTTTTGTAACATTCGTAGACGTGCTTGTCGATCAACCTGACGCATCGCATCTAGAGCTGCCATTCCACTTGTATACGTTGGTCGATAGTTAATGGTACTTCGGGAGAGGATGTTAGGAGTTCGGGAATTGTAGAAGCTATAAAAATTAAAAATAATTGGAAAAAACATGTTAACATATTATGTCTCTAGCTTGAACGTTTGTTAAAGACTTCCTAAACGCTTCCAATAACCTTAGACAATTTGCTTACGTTTGTTACCCATCGTGGAGGAACACAGACCGCCCATCAGCATTCCCCACCGAACTCTGTACTGGACAATACCTTCCAACTACTGTTCATTCTTTTCATGTCTGCTTCCGATTCCCCATGCAGTGTGTTCTCTCACCTTCCTCCTCTCAGTTTCCATTCACGATTACAAGTCAGCGCTTGCCTCGTGATGCAGTTTGTTGATTTCCGTAATGTATGTCCCATCCACTTTCATCGTCTTTTCCTGATTTCCTCTTCAGCTGAAGCCTGGTTTGTTCTGTTCTCTCGCACAGTAGGCTGTTGCTGATGGTATCCGGTCAACGGTCATCGAGTATTTTGTGTACAATTGTTTATAAATACTTGTACCTTTTTGATGATTGTTTTGATAGTTCTCCAAATTTCAGCTCCTTACAGTAGAACTGCTACACTGGCTGTCTTCAGCTGCATTTGGTGTGTAGGTAGGTCATCTGCGAAGTCCAAATCGTCCACTTGCATCCAACCTGTCCATAGTATTCCGTGCTTCCACTGGGATGTGCAGGTCTTCATAATCGATTTAACCGCTAGAAAAAAGAGAAATAATGAGAGTAAGCAGCCTTATCTGACTCCAGTCCTCACATGAAATGTGACCGTCAGCTGTCCTCCATGCACAACTTTGCAGTGTAATCTGTCGTACGAATTCCGCATGATGTTGACGATCTTCTCAGATAGTCACACCATAGTGTCTTCTTATCCACACTGCCGAATGCTTTCTCATAGTCAAGGAAGTTATTCAATGGTGACGAGTTCCATTCAATTGATTGTTGAACGATGGTCTGTAGTATCACGATTTGGTCAGTACACGACCGATCCTTACGGAATCCAGTCTGCTGATCTCGAAGTTGAAAACTTTTCCTGGTGCCTATAGTGGTGTGATGTCTCTACAGTTCTCACACTAGCTGAGATCTCTCTCATCTTCGGTACCTTGACGACGCATCCTTCTTTTCAGTCCACCGGTACTGATTCTTCCTCTTAAATCTTCCTGAATAAAACATGGAGCATGTTTGCAGTTTCTTTTATGGCTGACTTCAGAGCTTCAGCTGGTATATTGTCAGGTCTCGCTGACTTCCCACTCTCTATTTGTCTGATTGTTATTTTGATTTCTACGATTGTTGGCGAAGTGACATTTTTTAAGGTCCGTGGGTGTTGCATCGACGTCCGATAGATTTAAAGAAATTGGCCTACTCAATAGTTTCTCGAAGTGTTACAACCATCTACTCTTGAATCTCAGTGATTGGTTTGCCTTCTTTGTCCTTGACTGGTCTCTCTGCTACACTGTATTTCCCTATCGGTTTCTCTGTTGTGTCATATAGTTGACTAATATTTCCCTGTCTTACAGTCTTTTCTGCTTGTCAGCTCTAATACTCTTCTTCACTCTCTCTCTCGTTTGTTAATGTGTATTCAACTTGTGCCTTGACTTTCTCTGCTATGCTGGGCTGTTGTTAATTGCAGACTTCTTGTTCTCCCTATCTTGAATCTTGTCCAGGGTCCCTATAGACATCCATTCTCTATGATGATGCTTCTTGAGGCCCAGAACCTTCTGACATGTTGATGTTAGTATTTAATATGAACAACAGAGAAAAGGCGCAAGAAAATGTAATTAAAGCTGTAATTGATGAATAATCTGTGAAGTAAATCAAGTTTATTCAAAGACTTTAAAATGCCATTGATCTTTCTGAAAATTTTGGAATATAGTAAATAACCAAGTAGAACTTGTATTTCTCTGCGCTTCTACAGAGTTCACTAAGGGATATTTATGGAGTTTCAATATACTATAAAGACAAATATGAGTTGTCTAATCCTGAGAATCAGAGACGATGTCAAGCGAAATTGAAAAATCTACAGTCTAATTTCATTAAAATTTAAATGTTATCGTAGTTAACCAATGGAATGCAATGTAAGACCAAACCTAAAGAATATAAGCGCAATAATTGCACTCATGTATTCTCGACCCAAATATTTTCCTTTATACTCTGGGTATTGAAAACAAGCAAAATAAAAATGTTTTAACAAACACAAACACGATGTAGAAAAATAAAAACAACTAAATCGAGTAACAATTTTTTTTAAATAGATAACTACCACTTACCGAGATGAATCCACCAAAGCAGGATTAATTCCAGCGGCTAAAAGTTGTTGTTGTTGTAATATTTGCATTTGTTGTAATTGAAATAAATGGGCTTGTTGATAGCTTAAACTTAAACGTTTCTCTTGTTCATAACGTTGACGAGCCATACGCTTTTCAACGCGTGTTAAACGATAATCTTTCCGATCAATTAATAATGATTCATGGGTGAATGGTCGCTAATAGTAAGAAAATTAAATCCAACATACACATTATGAATAGAATAAATGAACAAGAGTTGAACAGTGAATAATCACGAAATATTTATTTATTGAAACACATAAAGATGAGTACAAACAAACACCAAATTATATATATGCACCACACAAAGTTGTTATCATTAGATTTGTGTGTGGGCTGTGGTACTGCCCAGATACCTGAACTGAATGCCGTTACCTAACGTGGTCACTTTCCGAACCTTTGATCTAGAGGTCCAATACACAAGCTAGTGGAGCAACGTCAGGAGATGCAGTTCTATGGTAGCCGTGAACAACATTAGGTTCATACGCCATCTCTTTCCTTAGGATCCTGGAGCCCATGTACACCATTGGTTTGGAATCAGAGTTTTCCAACTCCCGTAGGTGGATCCTTCACATGCATTAACCCGGTTAAAGAGCATGATATATATATATCCCTCAGGTCACTTCTGAATGCCATCGATTGACCTTCTCGGTAGGTTACTTCTGACTGACTCACAATATCAAGTTTCCCTCTCAATAATAAGTCTTGCGCCTTGAATTTAACTAGAGAAGTTGAGGGAAATGTCTTCCTCTCAATGATCTTCTCGGGGTCTGGTCATTACTTCGTGTGAGCTGATCTTGCTGCTCTAGACTGACTGGATCAATCAAATAACCGAATGGCAAGTTCGTGTTAGGGGGGTATCCGAATTTAGTCGTCTATCGCGGATGTGAATTACGCGTCTCGTCAGGCATTTACCTGGAACATCATTTTCGTACATCACGTCACCAATTCCTCTTAGGATGACACCCACTACATACACAGGCCACCATTGTCGAAAGTTTCATACATACAATCGTAACCCGTGTATCACGTATGCCCAACCACCGATTACCACGGCGCGCGGTACTGACTAGTGTTGGGGATGGTTGGGAGTAAGTTAGGGGCTTGAAATCAATAACTTCTGGTTTGAGCCATGTTGGTAGATGCAAACTGATTGGTAGGGTTCCATGCGACTATCGTAACCAATAGTTGGAGACTCTGTGTGACATGGCTCAGAATCGATCACAGTAGCGTAGGTGTATACACTCGTTGTCCTCCCTTAAACCGTGAAATTGAAATTGCTTTTATATCTTTTTTTCTACGAACTAATTCTTTCTTCCTGTATCGTATCCTTATATGCAATCTTTTTTTACTACCACTGAAATGCTTCTATGAATTTAGTATTCATCTTGTTGTGCAAATGAGGTGTGGCAACTTAGATTGATGCATATATATGCCTGGTCTTACGTTGTAGATGACCGACTGACTGAACCCATTAGGAAACTGATGTTCGATTCGCCTCGCCTTGTGTTTATAATCTCGTCTTCTTTGTAGATACATACTACTCCTATACTATACAACATCGTTCATCGAGGCGTGGTGGGGTATACGTAATATATATTCAAACCACCTAAGTCGATGAAAATTCATTTATATTCAGAATATTAAAAAAAAGTAAACCTTACTTTTGTAATCCATCGAGTGTGCTTTTTTAAAACATCTGCAAGTATTGGATCTGGTTGGATGATATCTTTACAAGTTTCTAAATCATCATCTGTGATAGTCTCCATATCTTTATCCTCAAATGACATTAATAACTCCACTTGTGAACGAGTAAACTGTTGTGTTGGATTTAATTCATCGACAACACGATCTGACATGCCTTGTTTAGTTACCTTAGAATTTAGAATAGAAAAATATAATCCATTGAGTGATAATATTCCATACAGGGTGGTGAGAATGTTCAGAAAGATTAACCAAGATATTCATTTGATAGAGAATCCTGGTATTCGGCCTATACTCCGCCACGAGGGGTAATAGGCATAATTAAGTAAATATTGGTTGGGAACTCTATACACAACGCTAATGTCAATTATGTTTGAAGCAATCTTTTCACTACTCTCCTTTAAACTTTAAAAATTAAATCTACCTTATAAAGATATCATTACAGTTTAACCATTCTCATGGACTATCGATTCTCGTGACCGTCTTTTTCAAGAAGGTAATTTAACCGTAGTGGCAGATTCGATTTCTTGCGTTAGATACACAATAGGTTTCTAAGTGTTTGTAATACGCGAATAGCGATCGTCTACCAGATGCCATCTCGAAATAATCACGTAGTATAGTATAATAGTCTAGTGTTTCTATAATGTCAGAGACATATGTAGGTAGATCTACTTTACACTGGAAAAAAGGTCTGAAAGATATTTTTAAAAGCTTACTTGTCGATCGTATATTTTCTTCTCCATAGTATTATCTGAAACAAGTCGATAAATATAACACGGTTTTACTTGACCATATCGATAAACACGACAAACTGCTTGACAATCATGACATGGGTTCCATGAAGCATCAAATACAACAACACGATTCGCTCCAATCAAATTAACACCTAGACAACCAGCTCTATAGCAAACAAAAAAATGGATTAGTAAACAAATAAACACAATATTCTCATGCATATATGGTTCGTCCAATAAATATACAAACTAAAGTTGAGAATACTAATCCAGTGCCAGAGGATGCTAATGAGGACAACTTTTTCCAAGTGGATCAAGCATTTCAATAAAGGTTGTAAATAGAAGGATCATGGAAAATCAAATGACCAGAGGCTTATTTTATGAAAGAAAAAAGTAGACGTATAGTGGGTCTTTAATATTTTCAGGTTTGCTACTCTCCGAATGAATGGTGATGAGCTAGTTATAGAAAAACCACATGTGAACACAATTCTAGCTTTGAGTAAAGCAGAATTAAAAGGAAACCTAATGTATTTTGTCAGAAATTGAGTGTAGTGATAGAAAAAACTTTACGTTATTTCGACCAAATGAAAATTGGTAATATTTAGTTCCTGAAATACATGAAATCGACAAAAATATCATGCAACCAAAAAGTGTATATAAGATGGTGTTTAAGCTCAATCCTAAAACTACTTGTTCCTAATACCGACTGTGTTAAAGTACTTGTTGTAATTTAATGTATAGTCAAAAGTGTTTAATGTAGGAAGATATTCTTTCACACTAAATCTCATTTATTTATTTGAACACATAAATACTGGTACAAGGGGGGGCACCAGATATATATATATATGTGCCACACAATAACAATAAGAATGGGAAGAGAAAAAGAATGTAAGGTGCGTACAAGAAAAAAAAGAACAATAGCGACCACAGGTTAGTGTATGGTAGTGTAATAATAATAATGGAAGAAACGGAAAGGTACAACCAAAAAGAATTCTTTCAGTTAAGGAAGTTACAACCACTTTTTATGAAGAAAATAAAAGAAGGTTACAGCAAGATCGCCACTGGCTTCTATTCTGAGTCATATCTGATAACATCTCTAGACACCGTGTAACACCGTCTCTCGGACCCCAACCAGGGAGTCGGGAAGGACCAACACAAACCAGCCCTTCGCAGCTTTCTTTCATACCACGACACCATTTCATACACTGAACACCTCTCCGCTTTTTCAAACCAGTCCCAGAGTCGGTAAATAATGCACGACGTGGAATTCTCTGGGAAGATATTCAAAGAACATGTCCAGGCCACCAAAGTCGATGTTTCAAGATGGTGACACCAAGTGGATTATCGTCACTGAGCCCGAAAACACGATGCCGAACCTTTGCATTACTAACATGGTGTTGCCACTGGATGTGAGCAATCCTTCGGAGACAACGACGATCGAACACAGAGTCGTCTAACGTCCTCAACTCGGAGAGGCCAGGTTTCACAAACGCAGATTAAAACTGCTCTCACTGACGCGTTGTAGATCCGACCTATTACAGCCAGACTAACATCACGAAGGCGTCAAAGATGGCCCAGATTGACATAAGCAGCTCTAGCTTTTATTATATGTGAATCGATCTCACCACTCACGCCACCACCAGCACTTATGCAGCTACCTAGATACACGAACATCTCGACTACATCTATCTGCTCACCATCCAGGGTGAGTACAGGATTAGAATCCTGCCAGTCTTGTAGAAGTACTTTGCACTTCGAAGGTGCAAAGCACATACCATACCTACGGACACTGATTGCCAACTGATTAAGTGCGGATTGCATGCCTTGGGCATTATCGCACAGTAAGACAATATCGTCCGCATACTCAAGGTCGAGAAGTCTTTCTCCAGGTAACAGATCCACACCGCCATTGAAAAGGAATGGTGAGATCGGGCAACCCTGCCTAACCCCACTGCTCGAATGGAATAATGGAGAAAAGTGGTTGTTTGCCCTCACTCTACCTGACGTGTTTGTGTATAGGGCTTTTAGGGTGTTAATAAACTTTTCACACACACCCTTCTTCAATAGACAATCCCAGAGAATAGTCCTATCCAACGAATCGAAGGCAGCCCTGATGTCAAGAAACACTACGATTGTTGGCCTTTGATATGTATGACGCTGTTCTAACATTTGGCGGAGGGTGAAGATATGATCAATACATCCTCGACCGGAACGAAAACCAGCCTGCTCCTCGCGAGTCAATCTTTCTCGGGTTTCGAACGGAAACCAACAGTTTGGACGCAATCGGAAGTAAACTTATCGGCCGATAGTTGTTACAGAAACGACGTGAACCCTTTTTAAAGATAGGGACAACTATCAACTCGACTAAATCTCAAACCCAAGTTTATTAAATTTGTAAACAGAAGGGTAGTATTATTATTAATGGCTTTATTCAATATTATATTTTGGTACAATATAGAATTCTCAGCATTAAATTATAGATGTAATGAAAACTCTGAATTTATAACCCTAACTCACAACACTAGCCCAATTCTTAATATGTAAACTTAACCTCTTTCCTTTAATTTAGAGAATAATTCAACATGAGAAGGTTATGTATTTATAACAAGGCGATTATTACACCGTTACTTTATTACTGTTTTATAATCACACGCTATTTCTTAATTGGTTGATAAGTTGTTCAAGATTCTCAACAAAGTACACTTTAACCGCAAAACGTTAAATGAAACAGCTAGAAAATTTAACGCTTGACGGTTTCCATGGGCGTGGTTTGAACAATAGAAATAAGGATATGACAAGTATATTGGTACAAATGAGGTGTTTTGAAAATCGATGTAAGGCTCAGTTTACGTATTTATTGAACACAATAGTTGGTGAAAAACAATAATAATTAAACCACTGACTGGAATATCCTTGAATAAACAACTTAATTCCTGTGCAGAAAGATCTTAACATTAGTCATACAGTTGTTATGCGAGACTTAATTTAGAGTAGATGATTACGACTAATTATGAATGAAGATATACAAATATTGGAGAAATAATAATAAGAACACAAACCACAATCAATAGACAATATATCATTGCATAACCGTTAATAACAATGGAACATAGATTGAGCTCACCTAGTTGACATAAGAAACAGTTTTGCTGGATTTTTAGGATCATTAAAATTATTGATTAATTTCTCACGTTCACTTGCATTTGTACTACCATCTAGACCTATACATGTGGTTGGAGAAAATAGTACGTTAAATATATTTTACCATACTGATTGAAAATACAGAATACAATTTAAGCAGATACATTTCAAAGCTGAACAAGCACCAATAAACTAGTTTACTGAGTGTTTAAAGACAATGAACAAAATTAGCATATTGACATCGCAAACTAAGTTGTAGGATAGATATAGTTCAACAAAGAAACATCATACCTAATATTTAGATTGCGAAACCTAAAATATCACAGACAGCTTAAAATAATATTTAAAGTCACTACTACATGTGTGTTTGAACGTAGTGAAGTTATTTATCGAGTCTCAAAATGATGAGAATACTACTAGTCAGTCATTAATATAATAAACCTGACTAAATTCAATCGGCAGTGTTTGACCAAAATCATAGTCTATATAATAATAACCAAAAAATTTCAGACATACCATTTACACTAGAAGTCACTTAGTTAGTCACTATCGATGTAGAACGTGATACGAGTATGCATTGAATTCAAGTTACTATATATCACAATTAACAATCCATGAAAAAATAAACAAGATGAAAAACAGAGAACTGGAGATAATAAAGAGAATAATGTAGATCGAAATGTGAGAAGTAGTTTGAATGGGACAAATCAAAAACTAGAAATGTTACTCAACTCAAGATTTAGAGAAAGATCAAACATAAGAAAGTGTGCTAATGTGACTAATTTTGCGGCCTCATTTCATCAAACACTAAGGGCAAACATTCCGTAAATTAGAGATTGACATTGAGAGTGGTTAAGAAGACTAGTCGGCAGTACAGATACAAAGAAATATCTGTAAAACAATTAGAAACAGAATACACTGTTAACATAAGCTCAACTAGGTCGTTACAGAGCAAGCAGATTTAAGTGATCATTTATGTTAAAGTTAGTCAAAGGATACTAAACAAATACGACAATTTGGTTGATGAGGTCATATCAGGTTCCACGTTGCTGCTTAGAACTGACTAGCTGAGCATCATTTACAAAGAGATTATGGTAGGATGAACATAAGAAAAAATATGTAACTCACGGAAATAATGGACATTGCGAGTCCACACAGTTGGTTCATCCATACAACCCCGACGTGTCGACAGCCTATAGTGTAAAGATTTCGGAGTTTCTTCTTCCTCTTCTTCTGTTTCCAACTTGTTCTTGATCTCTTCTTTACTATTTTCCTGCACTTCTTGTTTCATCGTCTCATCAGGTTGATTTGATTGAAAGTGATCAACTCCATCGTAACCATACATTGACTCACTGCATTTATGATCATCTTGATTCTGTTCATTATTCTTGTGTATCGTTGTTGAGGGATTGTAAGATGAGATTTCGGATTTGCCAATGTCTTCTAATGGAATTTCCGATGATTTTGCTGGAACTGTTTCTGACTTATCAACACCGATAACCGGTAATGGTAAATGGCGCAATATGCGCTCTAACAGATCTAATGTGTACAAACTCTGTGTAAAAACTAATAATTTATCACCGGCTAAAACACTTCCTTTTAATATGTCTAAGAACAGTAGAACTTTGCCACTATGCTCTACATTACCAGTTTTAAAATCATCACCCCATAATTCTTGATCACCAGCCCAGTCATATGTGCCAACATTTGACTGATGTGTATAGTTCTGAGTGTAAAAATAGCCTGAGTTAGGTGCGGTATTAGATTGTCCAGTGTTGGAAGGAGTTCCGCCACCAACCATAGAAGCAGGGAACATAGGATTCTGTAAATAAAATTATTGGAGAAAAACAAGTATGTCAGTGCAAAATAATAATACATAAAATCATAAGTTCAAAACTTATCTTCACAAAAATGAAAATACAAAGGTAGATATAATGCATAACTTTCGCTTAGCTGAACGTACACAGTGATGTTTGTGAAACTAATGGAAACATTTAGATCTTCAAAATCAGCTTACAAAGTTTACTGTCACTTGCATTTTTATGCCGACTAAAACAGATCAAGAATATCAATAACTGGATAACTTTAAAACTTCTACAAATTAAATTTATATCCATTGCATCAATGAATGGCTATCTGAACTTAATAGCCACGTGGAAAACACCTTGGTCTTTGAAGTAAAAATGCACTAAGTTCAAATTCCCAGAGTCCATATCAACTCTGAGATGCAGGTACATCTAACTGTCGAATTTCAGATAGAATGAAACGCACGTCCTGGCTTCTATTGCTACACGTAATCTCTCTTCATTAAAATGTACCATAAATCATGGTACAATTGTGCACGTGAACCTTCAGAACTGCGGCTAATGAAGTTAGTCGGACAGCACACGAGCGTCTGCCTATGGAAATCCATACTAACAGAGCCTGTTCTGCTTTTATTTATTTAGTCGTAAACGTAAACATAGGTACAAGGAGGCACCAAATATATATGCATCACACAATAACAATGAGGCCAGTAGCAGTTATCATTGATTTGTGTGAGGGCTATGATATTGCCCGAGTGCCTAAACCGAAGCAGGTGGTTTTCTCAGGGAGCCACAACCCTGGGCTTTGACCTGAAGGTTTAATCCATAAGGCAGTGAAGCAACGTGAAGAGATGCAGTCCTACAGTAGCTGGCGACCAGCAATTGGTTCATATGCCATTTGTTTCCTTAGGATCCTGGAGCCCATGTACACCATTGATTTGGAATCAAGGTTTTCTACTACCCTAGGTGTATCCTCCATATTCATTAACCCGGTTAAAGCACCGGACATTCACTTTTGTCCTCCCGATTTCGTAAACAACATCCCCGCCATGAGATGGCATTGAGTAGGACCTCCCAGACAGTGGCTGTATACGTGTGGCCATGTAAGAACATTTCAAGAGGGAGAGCTGACTCTTCCCCCACAATCGGCGGTACCAGAGTAGTAGTTTAAATGCATAAAGGAGACTTTAGATCAAATTAAGATGGGAAACACACTTCAAAATGAGAGATAACAATTTAAATGACATCCGTGTACCAGTTAATAAAAGTGACAACCAAAATATTACAAGAAAAAGATCCATGAGATAAACGAACAGATAGAACAAGGAATGCGCTCTCACCATCCTCAGTCGTACCAGGGGATTTGGAGGCTGTCATACTTTAGAATTTAATTCTATATCTACATCAATGAGGCCTTAGGAAGTTTTAATGGGATCTCCAGATACTCGAAGGGTAAATCGTCTCGTTTCTTCATACTGACAAGGTGACATCAAACGAATGACCGTATTTAGATCCTGTGTGCGCGTTTTGGTGACGCAGCATACATCGATTCACAGAGGTTCTAGAGTCTTAGCTAAAGAAGCCTCCGTCCTGTATGACACGAGATTACAACATTAAGAGTCTCAACGTGTAGTTTAGAGAGTGGTTTCAAGAGATAGAGAATAATACTTCGTGAACTTAAATTATTAGCATTGGTGGTGAATGATGATAAAGATATAGAGAAGGGTTAGTCGTGGGGATGGGAGAATTATTAATAGGTGAGGGGTGACTGATTGTGAACAAGATGACTTTAGATCCTCTTAGAGGTATGAGGTAAGTGTCACTTCCAGGCTTTCCAAACAGTCGAAGAATAATTAATTAATAATTAATTAATTCTTGAAGGACCTAAAATGTATGTTCAATTAATGGTGAGTAATCATATTATGCGAACCCAACCACCACATTAAGGTGGAAGCTATGGTCGCGTTGCTGTTAATACACAATGGTTTAAAAACCACTACCGCCCTCTGAAGAACTCATTCAGACTCGCAATTGCATACGAAAGACATAGCTGCATTGTTAACTAAATTCCCTTGAAAAGTTGAAAGCTAGTGAAAATGCCTCGGAAGTTCCTTTAATACTTCACAAAACTTTGGTCATCGGCTCGCTACTGATTTGATTGCAGTTGTTAAAACAATAGTCAGAACAATAATACTCACTTTACATGTTAGCCAAGCGCAGTGTAAAATTTTGTTAAGAAAGACTATCTCCAACACTTTACAAGATCTTACTTTATCGACAATAATGTAAAAACTTCTACTAACTCAAATATTGAACAAGTTAAAATTATAAGCATTGAGCTAGTCAAATGATTTAGGAATATATAATATCGACAACTCACTGGAGCCATAAAAGATGGTGGCATAGAAGAATCAGTTCCAGAATATGTAGAATTATTAATTGTTGATGCAGATAATTGACCAGAGGTTAAATCTGAAGAAATAGAAGTGGAATCCCCGCCGCTAACCCATGATTGTTGTGATTCATTTTGATTAGTTGAAATGGTGCTATTTGATCGTTGGTAAGGTGGTCGACTCGTGGAAGACATTGTTGTATTCGAATTATTATTTGCTGTTGTCTCTTCTATATCAAAATCCATAGCCTCCTTATGTTCTTCCATTGCACGACGTAATATATCAGGATGATTCCATATCTAATTGTACAAAGAATCAATGCAAAATGACTAAGCGATTGATTGAGAAAAAATATCACAAATGCTCTACATATCAAAACTAATTTTCAAAATGTTATAATAATGAGTATTTGTTTTAAATACACAAGGAATAAAATAAAATTAGCGTCAAAAAGCAATAATTATTGACTATAAGTTCCAGAATGATAACGTCAGTTACTGCCTTTAGTACATCTAATGTTGAATATTTTGAAAGTACTAGCGTAGGTCAAAATTTCGCCTGTAGCTCTTTCAGAGTTACCACCGGTCCCAAGCCCGAGTAAAGGAGGAGGGTAGGGCATGGGGTTAGCGACCCCATCCCGTAGAAAACTAACTCCCTAAATAAACGTTTACCAGAAAAAATTATTCAAACCATTTAAACTCTGCCCCGGGAGTTAGAAGGTCTTCATTTCGAAGAATTATGACGCCTCATGGTGAAAGCCCAGTTCCTTTGGAAGCCACGAGGCCAATGCCCTTTCTAACAACCAGAACAACAACTTCTATAGGTACATGGAACGTCCGGACAATATGGAAGACTAGGAAGACCAGTCAAATAGCAACGGAAATGAGGAGATACAATTTGGCAGTACTGGGAATCAGCGAAACCCACTGGACCCAAGCTGGACAATAGAGGCTAAATATCAAAGAGATGTTGTTATACTCCGGTCATGAAGAGGAAAATGTTCCACACACTCAAGGAGTTGCTCTAATGCTGTCCAAAGTAGTGCGAAATGCACTTGTAGGATGGGAATCTCACGGATCCAGGATCATCAAAGCATCATTCAAAACAAAGGAGGAAATCACAATGAATATTATCCAATGTTATGCACCTACCAATGATAGCAACGACGACATTAAAGATCAATTTTACGAGCGGCTGCAGTCACTCATAGAGAAGTGCCCAAGAAAGGACCTCACCATTGTGATGGGAGATCTAAATGCCAAAGTCGGAATAGACGACACCGAATATGAAGATATTATGGGACGACATGGACTGTGACAGAGAAACGAAAATGGAGAAAGATTTGCAAATCTATGTGCATTCAACAAATTGGTCATAGGAGGCACAATATGTCCACACAAACGTATAAACAAACCTACATGGATCTCACCGGACCACAACACAGAGAGCCAGATAGATCATATTTGCATCAACGAAAAATTCCGAAGGACAATGGAAGATGTAAGAACCAGGAGAGGTACTGACGTAGCTTCAGATCACCACCTAGTTGTAGCCAATTTGAAACTGAAGCTAAAAAAGAACTGGACAAGTGGACAAACAGCAATACAAAGGTTCAATACAGCCTTCCTTCGAGATACTGACAAACTCAATGAATTCAAGATAGCTCTCAACAACAGGTTCCAAGCCTTACAAGATCTACTGAAAGAAGAAGAAACTACTATGGAGGACAACTGGAAAGGCATCAAAGGAAGCATTAACTTCAACGTGTCAAGAGGTTCTGGGTCTCAAGAAGCATCATCATAAGGAATGGATCTCTACAGAAACAGTGGACAAGATCAAAGAAAGGAAGAACAAGAAGGCAGCAATAAACAACAGCCGAACACGAGCAGAGAAAGTCCAAGCACATGCTGAATACATAGAAGCAAACAAACAAGTGAAAAGGAGCAATAAAGCCGACAAGAAGAAATACGTGGAAGAACTAGCAACGACGGCGGAAAAAGCTGCAAGAGAAGGAAATATGAAACAGCTTTACGATACAACGAAGAAACTAGCAGGGAAATACAGTAAACCAGAGAGACCGGTCAAGGACAAAGAATGCAAGGCAATCACTGAAATCCAACAACAGTGGAACAGATGGGTAGAATACTTCGAAGAACTCCAGAATAGGCCGGCTCCAATGAATCAACCGGACATCGAAGCAGCACACATAGATCTTCCTATAGATGTCAATCCACCAACGACGGAAGAAATCAGAATAGCCGTCAGACAAATCAAGAGCGGGAAAGCAGCAGAACTTGACAACATACCAGCTGAAGCACTGAAATCAGACATCGAAGCAACCGCAAGCATGCTTTATCTTCTATTCAAAAAGATTTGGGAGGAGAAACAAGTGCCAATGGACTGGAAAGAAGGACACCTCATCAAGATTCCACAGAAAGGAGATCTGAGCAAATGTGAAAACTACAGAGGCATTACACTACTGTCAATACCAGGGAAAGTCTTCAACAGATTGTTGCTGAACCGGATGAAGGATGCAGTAGACGCCCAACTTCGAGATCAACAAGCTGGATTCCGTAAGGATCGGTCGTGCACAGACCAAATTGCAACACTACGGATCATCGTCGAACAATCAGTTGAGTGGAACTCATCACTATACATCAACTTCATTGATTATGAAAAGGCATTCGACAGTGTAGATAGGAGGACATTATGGAAACTTCTTCGACACTACGGAGTTCCTGGGAAGATTGTCAATATTATCCGGAACTCATACGACGAACTACAGTGCAAAGTAGTGCATGGAGGACAGCTGACAGACCCATTCCAAGTAAGGACAGGAGTCAGACAAGGTTGTCTACTCTCTCCCTTCCTCTTTCTTCTGATGGTCGACTGGATTATGAAGACCTCGACATCTGAGGGAAAACACGGAATACAATCGACAACTCAGAACCAATTAGACGATTTGGACTTCGCAGATGACCTAGCCCTCCTGTCGCATAAACACGAACAAATGTAGATAAAGACAACCAGTGTAGCAGCAGTCTCTGCATCAGTAGGCCTCAGCATACACAAGGGGAAAACCAAGGTTCTCAAATTCAAAATGGAGAACAGCAATCCAGTCACACGTAATGGCGAAACTCTGGATGATGTGGAATCCTTCACATAACTGGGAAGCATCATCGATCAACAAGGAGGTTCAGCTGAAGACGTAAAGGCGAGGATTGGCAAAGCAAAGGCTGCATTCCTACAGTTGAAGAACATATGGAACTCAAAACAACTTCCAACCAATATCAAAGTCAGAATCTTCAATACGAACGTCAAGGCAGTTCTACTGTACGGAGCTGAAACTTGGAGAACTACAACAACCACCATCAAGAAGGTACAAGTATTTATAAATAGCTGTCTACGCAGGATACTCAACATCCATTGGCCGGATACCAACAGCAACAGCCTTTTGTGGGAGAGAACAAACCAGCTTCCAGCTCAAGGGGAAATTAGGAAATGACGATGGGAATGGATGGAACATTACCAAACTGTATCACGAGGCAAGCCCTAACTCGGAATCCTGAAGGGAAACGGAAAAGAAGAAGGCCAAAGAACACATTACGTTGGGAAATAGAATCAGATATGAAAAGAATGAATAATAACTGGAAAGAGCTGGAAAGGATTGCCCAGGACAGAGTTGGATGGAGAATGTTAGTGAGCAGCCTATGCTTCTTCACGAGTAACAGGCGTAAGTAAGTAAGTAAGCAAACATACGTCAAAATTGATAGTATTTATAACAGCCTAGATGCTTTTTTTCTTTATATATTCTCTTTTGAATCTTGAGTTTTAATGGAGTTTTATATGCTTTTATTCCTACATACCACCTCCTTTTATTTCCTATTAAGGTGTAGGAACTTGGGTTAATGTATATCTCTCCCAAGTTCAAATAGGTTATTTACGGTCGACCTGAGACTATGGTTATTGCCTCACTATATACAACAAATAGTCCTGTGATAATATTTATGATTGAATATCAAGGTTCTTATGAACTTTGCCTTTTATAACTAATATTCCATACGATATAGTAGTTTGTAGAGCCTAATAAGATAAATGCCAATCAACGACTAAGCCTAATTCACTTCATAAAGTGATCAAAGGACTCAAAACCAGCACAACTCCACTTACAATTTTGTTGATTTATGGTAGTGAGAAATATAGGATTACAGAAATAGTAAACAATTCCATTGACAACAATATGTATCCCCCATCAATAAGTCCGATTGTTCTTCATGCAATAAAATTGAATACCAACCAGAATGTAATGTAGGCGAATTATGACTTAAATGTTATCTGAAATCACACGATTACACTATTCCCATACAGGAACAGATATTGGATTGCCTTAAAGTTTAACCTATACTTGAGACGAGTTTATATTTGACATTTGTATAGTCTGATCCATAGCAGGGTCATAAAATTTGAGTAAAATTAATGACGTCAGATAAATATCATAAACTCTAAGATTTATCTTTGCTTTGGGTCCTTTCTATGAAACCTGGAATTATGTAATTGACTTTCTTCATTTACGAAATAACGTCAACATAACATATCTTCACATCTGATATTATATCTAAACATGTTGCGATTAACAGTTGGAGCTCTCAGCTACACGTTGACACTTAGACAAAACAGCAGTCCCGTCTATAAGCCTTGGTTACTTCAAAGAATAAATCTTGTAAATAAGATTTATTTGGTAGTGAGTAAAGATTTACTTGTATTCGAAATGTTTCAAATATATATACTGATCACTTTCAGTGATTATTTTGTTAGAAAATATGTCGAACTGAATAAATATCACATGAAAGAATTAATAAAATCAATATACATTGAAAACTAAATCAACAAAATTCACACTGAATTCGTAAATACAAATGAAAGTTCACGGATAGTTAAATGAATGAAAATCATTTTAAAGTGATATAGAAATTTTAAGATTGATTTCTTTCTAGTACATTGTATTTAAAGATTTAACATCCTCGACACTTCTGAACAATTAATGGTGAATTATTTTTGAATTTACTTGGAAATTCAGTGTGTTCCACCAGAACCCCCGAATACCCTGGTACGGCTGAGGGTGGGGAGAGTCAGCTCTCCCTCTTGAAATGCTTTCAAGTGGCCACGTGCATACAACTACTGATAGGGAAGTCTTACTCACAGCCTTCACGCGTCACGAGTGTTGTTTACGAAATTGAGAGGACGAAAAGTGAATGTCCGGTGCTTTAACCGGGTTAATGGATATGGAGGATCCATCTAAGGGAGTTGGAGAACCCTAATTCCAAACCAATAGTGTACATGGGTTCCAGAATCCTAAAGGAAAAAATGGCGTGTGAACCAATTGTTGGTCGCCGGCTACCAAGGGACTGCATCTCCTGACGTTGCTCCACTACCTTGTGAATTAGAACTTTAGGCCAAAGGCTCGGGGTATGGTCCCCTAAGAAAACTACGTGGTTCGGTCTGGGCACCCGGACAGTATCCCAGCCCTCACAAAAATCGATTGATTTATGTGGCGCATATGTATCTAGTGCCTTCTTGTACCAATGTTTATGTGTTTAAATAAGCAAAATAAGAAAATAGAGAGTCGATCAGACAATCTCTTTAATGACTCTCCCTCTGAACGTTAGTAAGTGAAAGGTGATAAGTCGTTTCCTAATACAAGTCGTATTTAAAAATTGAGCATTTTTGACCATTCACAGAATGACTTCGCTTTATTTGTTATAACAGAGTACCACTATCATTTTAGTTTTTTTCTCTTGCTCCTCTTTTTTTAAATGATATTAAATGACCTTAACTAATCATACATTTAAGCTTTAATCTACACGAAATTTACCCAGTCACAATATAAAACACCATTACTGTAGAGCTTTTCTGAATATGAAATTACTGACAAAAAGTATGTCTGCTAAAAACATTCCCTCTTTTTGAATATCCTACATAGATTATCAAATGAGATGTGTTATTATTCTGACAAAAAGTGTACTAGAATACTTTATTAACTTGAAATTAGTTCATTTATGTACAACTTTGAATATTGAATTGAATACAGTTACTTGATTGTTTAAACAGCAAATGAGTGAGTGTTGTTAGAGGTATCAGGGCGGTTATTACTTCCCGGTTGCCCACACCGTGGAAGGGTTCTTCTGGAGGTACCTGAAAAGGAAATTGGATTAGAGGTGGTCTTAGTGACCCGAGAGCATAACTGCAGTGCCCAAGGGACAACTGCTTGAGGTCGGTCACACACAACCTTTTTACGGGTAATTTTTGTGTTAGCTCCGTACGTGTTGAGACCTTACCGCCAGAGATGGATATCCGTGGGATAAGGTGAGGTGTGGATTTTTAGGGTCAACCTTTTCTAACCCCACTCCTCCTTGTGGGAAGGCAGCATCGCTGTCATGCTGGTTGTCTGAAGGAAACACCTTACTGCTGTCACAGCTGTACAGTCGGCAGTACGACTTCGTTCTCGGACCTTGGATTTGTTGCTTTTAATCTTAGCGCTCTTCAGCCGACCTGTCTGACATGGTAAAACCTTGAGGAACGGTTGTTCCAGCCAGTACAGCTCGGTTGCTTCATCACGATAGGCAAGCCCGACCACCATGTCAAGGTAGCAACAACAGTCGGGCAAATGAGTGAAGTTTGAAAGCATATGAGTCACAAACTCATGCAACCAAAAAATGCATACTTAATAGACTTGAAGATAAAATTGAAGTTTAGGATATAGGGTAATTGGTAAAGAAGTAAAAAATTAATGGACATTATGAATTACCAAAGTTAGAATCAACATACACAAGTAATTAGACTATATAAAATGTAGTCTGTATAGGCAGAATACATCACTGGCATGGAAATGCTTGACATGATTAAAAAATTTATTTCACAGCAAGATTAAAGCTAATAACTTTCAGGTTTAAAAAAATGAGTACTGTAATAATCTAAAGGGCAATAAAGCTTACTTTACAACACATTGCATATGTTTTCAACGTATTCACTTGAGCCCAACCAAGTGGACCACTGGAACCCAGACTTCGCATAAATGCTGCATAAAGTGTTCGTTGTAAGGATGAGAGTTTGATTAGTAGAACAATTTCGGTTTTCGGTGGGAGACTAGCCTTGAGAACAGCATGTGAACGCCGTTGAACAAAACCAGATAACAAGTCATGCAGAACATGTGCTCGGCCTTGCATTACTTTACGATCTTCAGGTGTACTATCTATACACTGGCCATTTTCAATTGGTCTTTGAAACATATTAGTGAACTCTTGTTTTGTTCCTAAATAATTAGGTCGAACGAAATCAACCATACACCAATATTCCATAAGATTATTTTGAAGTGGATAACCAGTGAGTACTACACGTCGACTACAAACACATAAGCAAAAAATATTCCAGAGTTAATTGTAAAAAATAATTAGTAAGTTAAGATGATTTTCATAAATCGAAACTAGACAAATTACTTACTGTGTTTTAATAGCTTTCAAAGCTTTAGAAATTGACGCCTCACTATTTTTAATTCGATGACCTTCATCACAGATAACAAGCTGAGGGCCAGGATCCAAAAGCGCTGTATGAAAATCTGTTAATAAAACCGTGTCATAACAATAAAAAAAGTGATTCTTGAAAATAGATTGATCTGTTGGATCAATAAATAAAATAAAATACAAGGATGGGACTCATCTGTCATTTGCTCACTTATATACTTATTAGTGGTAGAACAGATTACAATTTTTAAACATATGTGTAGATTAGCAAGCTACTGAGTTGTATGTAGACCACAAAAACTGCTTTATAGCAGATTGGTTAGCTGTCTAGTGACTACCATACAACGGCACGAAAACAAATTTTGTGTATGACAAACCGAGATAGTAGATTTTCCTGTAAATCCTACACAAACGTTAGTTTTACTACTATATCTTCCGTTATTTGGGTTCACAGAAATAAGCAAGATTCCCTCCCGATTTTTGTTCTTATTTCAAACGAGCTCAGAGGAATACACTGATAGAATACTAAACAAGAAAAAACGCAACAAGTTCAGAGATGCAAGTTGAATTCAGAAGACCCTGAAATTCTCACCCATGTAACTTGGGGTGATACATGTAGTTAAATCTAAATGGAGAATAGAATCACGAAGCAAAATTTTGTTTCTGGATAAAACAATCATAACTTTGATAACACAACTATGCATGAAACTAAAGCATACGGGCCAAATCTTAGATTATAATAATGACCCAACAACACCGAAAATAGGTTTGTACAAACACTACTCAGAAGAATCAAGATTTAATACAGCATCCTAATTACATGAAAGACTGAAGAAGCCTATCTATAGTAGAAAATGGCTACATTGATAACTACTTTGAAAAGCACCTGGGAAATTAACAAATATCATGAGATTACTTTAGGAAATCGAAAAAAGATAGTTTTGCCGTATGTGAAGAACATTTCAGAGATCACAAGGATTTTGGAAAACTTCTGAAAGGGATTTCCCTTATAAGCCAACATAACTACAATCTATCTTACGCCATCTGAAACACTTCAACGGGCATACAGTAGATGCCCCACACCTACACGCGTGAGAATAGTAACAAGCAGTGAAACAACACAATCCACACAAATAACTATGAACACGAACTTAATTGGGAAAATGACAGTTCTGGATCAAGGAAATCCTAGAAATACGAGATCATTAGAATTTCAACAGCCTGCAATAAATAAACAAGTTTAATTTTTCAACAGACAAGATATCGTTCTTAAATCTCATAGTTTGTGGTCAACGGAACTAAACAACCAAATGAAAAGCAGATACATGAAGATAACAGTGCCTAAGACAACCGGCCAAAAACAAGGTCAGTAGAACGGACTGATTCACAGGCACTAATAAAATTGTCTAGATCGACAAAGAAATGTTCACATTTAAACCATCTAGTTCAAATACCACATACAACCTTGATACTATACTTTAATTAATCTGATTTACACGGGGAAATTAATAACACTGGAAAAGTGTGGATTTTCGAGGGGTACCAAAAAACGGACCGCGAATTGTTTCAATTGGTAAACCTGTAGTTGTTATTTATTCGCCTTGTTAAAATGCAGGCTAACTCTCAAGTTGCAACCAAAACTTATATATTCAGGTTTATTTATGGAACAAATAAATTGAGATATTCAATCTAGTTTAATATAAAACACAGTGAAAATAGTGGTACAAATGACAAAATACTGAATGTAAATACATGGTTATATCAGATAGATAACTAAAGGCAACTGAATGAAAATGATTTCCAAGTGTTTCAAAAATAGTAGATTTATCATGAAATCACAAATAATATATGCATACATCATTTAGACTAAGAATAACTTCTGGGAAATATTTACGTTGACCTACCTGCCCACATCTTTTCTCGTTTTTCCTCTTTATCAATATCAATACAAATATCCTTTTTCCGACGTTTAGGTATTCGTACATCAACTTTCGTTGTATATAATGGAGGAGGATTCAAACGCTTTTGATTTAAAAGTAGCCGGAACATTTCATAACCTAATAACAAAACACCACCTTCTTCAAACCATTGTTGAATGATCTTTGGAAAAAAGAGAAATGGAAAATAAAGTATCACATCAAAATGGTAATTGTAAAAATGTTTAAATGATAAAGCATAAGTGTACCAACAAAGTTTATTATTATTTGTTGCCAACTCTCTACCCAGTGCTCAATTTATTTGAAACTATCAAGTCCAACCTTGGCCTTGATACCCAACCCATAAACTCGTTAACAAAAAAGACAATGCTTGTGAGATACGATTAACAATAATTTATGAACGAACTCCTCAGCAATGCGCACTCACGACCCCGCCTCGCAGGGCTCGAACCCAGGACCTACCAGTCTCGCGCCAGGCGCTTAACCAACTAGACCACTGAGTGGGCCACCTCTGAATTAACTACTTTTATGAATCCGGTGTCTATCTCGTGTTAATGAGGCATGGCAACTTGGACCGATGTATATTTATGCCTGGTCCTACGTTGTAGCTGACTGACTGACATGAACGAACTATTCAGATTTAAGGTAGCAGGTCTTGGATTTCGGCGTAATATTCGTTTATCCATATGGTTAAATAGCATTTTAGCTGATTTCAGTTCGTGATGAAAACCCTGACTCTAATTTCTAACGCTACTGTACAATTGTAGATCCTAATCCTAATTCCTTACACTAATTTGCAAATCTCACCTAATCCCAGTATGTGGATGTCCTCAAGGTCACCCAAGCATCGTTCGAACGTCACCTATAAATTATTATTTCACCAGTATTACATGTCAGTCACGGGATGAGCAGCTTAGTAGTAGAGTCCCTGATTCCAATGCAAGGTGAAACATGAGTTTGGATTCTGGACATGCAAATACGACTGACCAGTTTGAGGCTTTTCTAGATATAGCTCACAATAGAAACCAGTGACAATCTCGTAGTTCCTTTTATCAGAAACGTCCCACATAACAGAAACTATTCTTGTTTATCCGTTTATTGATTTGCGAAGTTTTGAAATATACACCACTTGTAAGAAGGCTGAAAAGAGTTAAGAGCTATTTTTAAGGGTCAATAATTCTAAATCCCTTATGCAGACAATGTGGAAATGAAATAGCTGATAAATATATTAGTCTATAAATCGCATTTTGAACGAATTACTTTAAAAAACCAAATCTGCTAGTAAATATAAACTAACTAGGTTATTTTGTGGTAACCATGTTTGGATGCCATAGTACGGAAGAATAAAATAGTAGGTCTTAACACATCATTGAGAAAGCGAATTTCTGCTTACCTGGTGACGCTGACTCATCGTTTTTACAGTATCCCGCACTACGAATAATTTAAATGGTCGAAGGCAACTACCACTATTAACAAAAGAATATTCTGAATCATTCGGTTCGCCATAAAAGCTTTCATTATGGGAAACATCTTCCACTTTCGACTGAGACTCGCTCTTGTCATTTTCAAACATAGAAGACCATAGCATTTGATCATCCATGTTGGCGTCAGTTTCTTTTGAATCAACCAGTGGGACATTCGGATCGGCAGAAGAATCTGCGCGATCTGAGGAAGGAGGATGTTGTTTTGATTCTGTAGTGGGTTTAGGAATGGAGAAACGTTGGAAAAACTTGGACTTTTTATTTGCTGCGCAGCTTGATAAATCAGTTGGTAACCAGAGCTCAAATTCTGCTTGCCAATTCTGAAATTCCGTGAAATAAATAGTATCTTTACAGTTCAACAAGTATAAGTTATCGCTTTGTTTATCTACTTGAAAAAGATAAAATTTTCATAATGATGTGAAACTTATAAAACTTAAACAAAATTGATGATTAACCTCATTAGTGTGTTCAGAAACCTCCATATTTATCCTTAGCCTCCTATTATGTCTACCTGGATTGCAGTGAAAAATAGTGACAATTATGAAATAGTGGCGATTTGTAGCTCAGAAAATGAAACCCAATCAAAATAAAAATAGTGATACTTTTCTTTTACCAATAGTTTCCTTAACTGGGTTCTCTTTACATCCCAAAAGTTTAAGGGCTAGAAATTACATATATCGCAGAACTATTGATATAATATAAACACGCTGAATTAATTACAATATAGTTGGCATGTATAGAGGTGATAAACTATAGTATAGTGTTTAAAACTGAAAAAAGTAACACAATCATACCTGTATAGTGTTAATTGGAACGATTACAAGAACTCTTTGTGCTTGGCAAAAACGGAATAAAATATCAAGAAATCCGATAATCTGTATAGTTTTACCCAATCCCATACTATGCGCTAAAATGCAACCGAATCCATCTGTTGTATGAAATCGTTTTACACTTTCAACAACATTATCATATAAAAAACGTATACCGCTAACCTACAATTAAAGAAAAACAATTGTAACACAGTCAAAAAGTCTACATTTTAGGATGTGTAAACAAGCTTTAATTGTCCTTTACACTTTATTATCGGGAGTAATCATTTTTCATACAATGAATTTCATATCATTGTTATAGTATGAGTAGTGGATCATGACTTTTACCTTCCAAATATCTACACGGATGAAATAATTTACTGATAAGCCAGTTTGTAGCAATGGACTCTAGAATGTAACAAACAAAACATTTTGTAAAGATTAGAGATTGTACTTAAATCACTGTTGGTGAGCATTAAATGTTTATACACTATTTATTCCAGTTCTAAATCAAGACTTCTTGACTATCTAAAATTCACTTAGCTCATATCCACTCATCCCTTTAAAACAGAGAAACTACACAGTAAATAGGGGACTGACCAACAAGTACAAATTAATGTACCCACTAAACTTTACAAGCATGATGCTTCAAGAGAAAAAGGATAGAAACACACAAACAGACCAAAGATAATGACTTTTTTTGAAAATAATATAATTGAATTCCACATGAAGGATAATTAATGCTATTTTTAATTTTCAAGTTAATGAAGAACGCAGAAAAAATAGAGGAAACCTTCTAATGTTTCTTTTGTAGGGCTCTGTAAATTTATTTATTAATTAGAAAAAATACTCACTTGATGCGGTTTAATAACCCTAGCCATTTGAGGGCATAAAACAATTTCTGGTTCTTCATCTTGATCACGAGATGTATTAATAATGATTTTGCCATCAATATCGGCTAAGTTTTCTGCATCTTGTATCTCGCAAATTTCAGCTTCAACTTCTATTTCTGGTTCATCTTCACCATCACTAACTTCAATGATACCAGAATCTGCATGCTGTGTACACATGGAAAAATGTAAATAGAATGAAAACATTTACGTGATGAACTGATTAATCAAGATTTATTCAGTAGGATGTAACTAAATTGGGAGATAAACAAGAAATTACTTTGAAAACTGATGTCCTAGTTTAATAACGTAAAGACTGAGCTGCAGTCTACTTGGTCATAACTTTTTTGTCATTTCACTACTAGCGGTTTACCTTACTATTTAGTTTACTTCTTACAGACATATATATTTCATTTCATTATGTCTGAGAGAAGCATTTAAATAAATGGATAAAAGTCGAGCTCATTTCACATACCACCACATAAGAGGTTAGTAGCAGATCGATTACGAGGAAACTACACTTTTATGAATCCGCAGTATATTCTGACTTCTAAGAGTAATTGACAGCATATGAATAATTTACGAATTGATTTAACACATACCAATTCATTTTACAAAGCTTAAAAATCCTTCAGATACGAAGTTAGTTTCCATAACCATCAACATTAACTGGAAATGATAGGATTTCAACCAACTTATATTAAAATGCTATCACAAGTCAACAAATAAGAACAGGTTTATTTTCCCGAATTTAAGTCTCACTCGTGTGTGATACTAAACACTAAAAATCAAGACAGGTGATTTAAGTATTGAACATGTAGTCTACTGGTCCACAATCAAGTAATCACGACATTGAACAGTAGCTATTCGATCTTGGTAACCACTTGAGAGAGCTGATTATACCTTATAAAACCATATTAAAAAATTCCAGATCTTATGCACAGACGTAGCTATGTTAAACGTTCCCTGACTAGTGTGAATAGATTCATCAGATACAACCGTATATATATAAATTTAGGGAGGAACCGGCACGACAATATCACATCGCACAGCTACCGCAAGCAACCGCTTGATACTAGGTTAGGAGCTCAACATCTAATGGTGACATCTCCGGTGATCAGAAGTTCATCACATCTAATTAACTTACCGAAAAACAGATACTTCTAAAACCATGTTAAGGTCAATCATTCAGTCAGTTTATTCAGTCATACGCAACGTAAAACTTGGCACATATACGCATCGATTCACGTTGCCACACTACATTATCTGACTTGAAATTATAAATAAAAATCGCAGAGTAGTATAGTGACTGGATTTAAAAAAACACAAAATGAATCATACAAGCCTACCTGATCATCATCAGAATCACCAAGTAAAATAGGATCGTCTTGTGACTGGCCCATGCGAAAAGATTGCAAATCACTCCATGTGGAACCAAACAGTGCAGCAGAGGCAGAACTAACAGCTCTTTTTTGATCCAATTCGTTGCCAGGTGACTGTTTGCCTCCATTTGTAAGCGAGTTTGAGACGGTTTGTTTAGCACCTTTTTCAACTGTTTCAAATGAACTGCGCTGACTATCAACGGAGTTACATTCTTCTGCATCCGAGTCATACTTTCCCTCCTTTTTTACAAATGAACCAGTTTCTTGCAACTCAGATTGAAAGTTGGCATCAGAACACTTTAGAAAATCGGGTGACGATGAAGAATCTATTTCAAACAATAAGATGTGGTTGGAATCTCATGGTAAACGTCAAATGGACTAATAACTGAAAATCCAGAACTATATACCAATCCAACTCAAAGTGGAAATTGTGTTTTAAAAAATAATCTTTCTAATTAAACAGGAACGAGGCACAGTATAATGACGTTACATACGTTGAATGTTACTTGGATAACCCCTTAAGTAACTATCATTCGGTACAAAAACATGTTGGTCGAAAGACTTTTTAATCACGAACCACATATGAATCTAAGAGCAGCGATAGTTTAATTTTCTAACAACTCACACTAACAGTTAATAGCTCTACGGTTCGGCCTCCTGTCATTTACCAAACATACATTTATTTAAAACATTTGAGAAAACCTTTTATGGTCGATATTTAAACCACAGTCTTTACTAGCCTATGCCAGATAAGATAATTAGTTTGAATATTTAGGTGACCCAGATATTTTAGTACATTGCATGTCCATGTCTATTATAATGGAACTAGTCGAAATCTCATAGATCATAAAGTGGGTGTTTCATTAATTAAATCGACAATACGATTTGTTGAGGATCGTTGTCTACAGAAATACTAGCCACTTTTCAGCAAGAATGACTCCACAATATTGCAGACCTTCAGATGATTTGGTAATTATATCTCTAGGTATCACGAGAACAAGGATTGAGTGCTCATGGGCTTCCATCAATGAACAGAAGCACTTTATTAAATGTCTGCATCTCCTGAGAAACTGATATGGATTCATATTCTGTTATTAGGTACCAAGCTGCTGTTGTGTGAAAAAAATAAAAACTACATCCAGTATAAGGCCCTCCGAGATTTAAGAATCAACAGCATGTAATCTTTCTCGACGTTGCTAAAGCACAAGGAAAGTATAAGGATGGAGATCCTTTCGTGTAACACCTGAGATGGACAGTTATCAAATTCAGTGTAACCAATCGGTTCTGACGGGAAATTACGGTATATTTCTAGCCCAGCCGAATGTAATTTGATGGGGTTTTATGATGGTCCTAGTGTAGTGTGGTGTAAAAACGGTTTTACGAAATTCCAGAATAGTTAGTGGCAAGTCATTTTATACTTTAGAACATCCACTTTCTCTATAGTGAAAAAACTGGCGACAATACAGATTCCAAGAAAGTCGTAGCCATTAATGCTAGACTGAAGCTTGGTATACAGTTAAGCAGTGAAGCTTTCGTGTTTGTTTCAATATACAATGGTGACAAAATCACAGGGGGAAAATAGAAAATACAACTTTGTGAAAGTTCTCCTATTAGTTAAATAGAAAATGAACGATAAACAACCAATTAAAGCCCAGTATCTCCATCTTTATCATGTTCACTCTGTTTCGATTGTTATGACTGATGGGATCCAGAAGTGATACCACTCTAAAGTATTCAAATTATTGCGCTTATCGAGTCATTCCGAACTACAAATTTTAGCTTGGTTTTGGAGTGTTTAATAACAGTAAACTTCCCTTCTGCGGAAAAGTAACGTGAGTTATTCTGGTCAATAGACTGTTTATGCGATATTCATGCATCTAACAATAAATCATCAAGGCGTTAAATATTTTACAGTACTAAATTGACGGGAGTATAACGCTAAGTATGCGATTAATTGACCCAATTACGGGTTTCTAAGCAGTAACTTGAAGGACTTAACAACCAAAAACTTATACGGCGTTTAAAATAAAGGTTTTAGAAAATACGGGCTACTTACCATTTAGTAAGAAGTCTATGTTAGAAAACTTCACTTGCTCCCCTTTATCTTTACTAAAAAGACGCTGCCTCCTTTCCATTTCTGCCTTTTGAGCCGCCTTGGCTTCTTCGCTAAGGCCATCTTCCCGAACTTTCCTAAGATACAATGACGAGAAATATGATATGCACAAACTTGATATTGCGTCTTTCGAATGTTTGCTTGCGGCGGCTTTTGCGGGAATTTGACCTATCAGGGCTTTCACCTGGTTTTTCATCTTGATTTTCATTGTCTGATAAAACTAACTCTCCATCTTCCTCTCTAAACTGTACTTTTGAAGCTATTTAAAAGGTCAATTTGATGACTGCTTACATTGTTCAGGGTGCTCCTCACTCATGAGTACAGATTAGTCTAGTTAAATCATGAATGAATTTTCCGACGGTGATGAATCACAGAAATAAAGAAAACCTCAATTATGTAAAAGTACGAGTAAAAACTGTCAAGGCCAATTCATTCAAACAACACAGAGCCCCATTTACATTATGTGATGGAAGATGATAAAACTGGACAAACAGAATAACAAGATACTCACTCTCAAAATTTGGTGTATATGAATGGTGTGAATAACTCATAGGGAAATGAAGATAATAATCGTAATCAATGTCCAATATATACCACCCCGGTGTCTTTTGCTTCATCTAACTCTGAAATAATGTATAAGGAAACAAATAACTTTTGAAGCAACAGTCCGAATGTCAGATAGAAGTTCTGGACCATAATTACGCACAATTATGTTAGGTCTGACAATCGGTTGAAAAAGTCTGAATAGTGTCTAAGGTTCCTTATTGATTTATTTTGTTAGTAAGTAAATGAGTATGTTCCAGAGCGATTTAAATCGTGAGATTTATAGTTTCAGCCCTAATAGGTGGTAGTTTGATCAGTTAAGGATCTTAATAGTGAAGATAGCTCAAATTAGTACAGATCTGCTATGCTGATTATTGAATATTACCTGGGTGCTTGGTTCCTTACAAGCACTTCTACTGAAAACTTTTGGGAGCGTTGATATCAGTCGTGGCCTTAGTCTTCCAATATTTGGTGACTGACCTGACTCGAGGTTACTTAGCTAGTGAGAGACTACTGGTTTAATATTAGCTGACTCCAGGGAATGCGTTCATCAAATGTTGCATGATTATCCAAAGAACAGACCTAATTGGACATCTCAGGTGACCTGGCTCTTCTACTTCATGCACGCAAACAAATGTAGCTGAAGAAAACCAGTGTAGTATCAGCTTCTGCGTCACCTCAACATACACAAGGGAAACAGAAAAATCCTAAGATAGAACACGGAGAACACCAAACCAATCACACCTTACGGGGAAACTCTCAAAGAAATGGAAACGTTCACGTACCTGGACAGCATCATCTATGAACAAGAACGATCTGATTTATAAACATCAGAAGGGGTATTGTGGAGATTGTAGTAATTTAAAAAGTTGAGATCATGAATCAGTTTAAGCGAGACCACCATGGAATACCTGGAAAAACTAGACGGACGTTTCGCCCTGTTGTTGGGCTCCTCAGCAGTGCGCATCCACAACACCGCCTAGCGGAATCCGAACCCAGGACCTATCAGCTTAGCGCGCGAATGTTTAACCACTAGACTACTGAGCTGGTCCGCATCGAACGGTGTTAATGTCTAACTTCAACTAATCCACGAAATTGAGCGACACATCCACCATTTTCATCAGTGAATTACTATCTCACAACAGACCCGGTTGAACTCCACTAGTCACTGCTTCTCACTAGAACTCCAGGATATATCTCTTGAAGCCAGTCACTAGTGAGCATAAATTGATTGGTATCAGAAGGTTTTTTGTGGAGATTGTGGTAATTTCAATATTTGAGATCATGAGTCAACTGAAGCTAGGCTCACAGTAGGAGGGAACGGCCGTCCAGTGCTTCTAGGTTCTCCATGGTGTTCTAGCTTCAATTGACTCATGATCTCAACTGTTGAAATTATTTATAAACAATTGTATACACAAGATACTCGATGGCCGTTGACCGGATACCATCAGCAACAACCTACTGTGCGAGAGAACAAACCAGGCTTCAGCTGAAGAGGAAATCAGGAAAAGACGATGAAAGTGGATGGGACATACATTACGGAAATCAACAAACTGCATCACGAGGCAAGCGCTGACTTGTAATTGTGAATGGAAACTGAGAGGAGGAAGGTGAGAGAACACACTGCGTGGGGAATGGGAAGCAGACATGAAAAGATTGAACAGTAGTTGGAAGGGATTTTCCAGTACAGAGTTCGATGGAGAATGCTGATGGGCGGCCTATGCTCCTCTACGAGGAGTAAAAGGAGTAAGTAAGTACGTAAAAGATACCTAGTTGAAACAGTCTTATATGCATTGACCTTTTATGGAGTTTGAATGAAATTTGTACGTGTATATGTGCTTTTCCGTTGTTTATAAACGGTTTAAGACATATGTTACCTGATTCATACCCAATCGAGTTGTCTAATAGTGATTTCCAAATCAAAAAAGCTTATAGTCTCTGCAGTACGGATACTTGTATGAGGGGACGAATTGTATATTTCTTAACACATCAGTGTTTGTGCTTTTATCATCCACTCTTTGTAGACAAGATGGTTCTACAGAATACATCCTTAGTTAATCAAGGATATATGGCTTACTGTGCACACTCATGAATGCAAAATACTAATCGGATGCATAGATCGAGCTCCTAACACTCCTAGTTCAACTGACACTGTTATAAGTGAGTCATTTGCTCAGGCTCTCTCGCTTGATTTCAATTACAAAATTGTATGTGGTGATTCCAACCTTCCCACTATCAACTGGACGACATATTCTGGCCCATTGTGCTTTGAAAGCATACTTAGGTCCTTGGACATACACGATTGGCAACAACATGTACACCTGCCTACACGAAATCACAACCTTCTTAACTTGATATTTTGTCACAATATTACCCCAACATCAGTGGTGGTTGGCGAAAATTTTCACAACAGCGATCATAATTTATTCCTCAGCACCCTTCCGATTCTTGCCATGTGCAACAAATTATAGACATAAAATACTCGTTTTTAATATAGAGACTATGCAAACGCTGACTGGGAAAACTTTCGATTTCTAATAAAGCACTCTGACTGGAGCAGTTTCTTTACCAGTGATAACCTCTTAGAAACATTAGAAATATTCAATACCACCACCAAATTTGCACTAGACATTACTATACCCCCTAAAATTGGTTTTAAAACAATTACTCCCTATATAAAACAAAAAACTAGGTCTAAACTGCGAAAACTGAAAAGGACGTACTATATATCAAAAGACTTCAGTGCCCTGCACCATATATACTCGGTACTTGACCGAGTACAAAGTCAACTCAACAAACATAAACAGGAAGGGGAACGTACTGCACTCACTGCTGCATCTAAAACCCAGGCCTTACGTCGTCTCCTCGCAAAACGCATAAGAAAGAACGCAGATCACAGCATTCCCTCCTTACTGCTCGATGGAGTGACGTAAAATGACCAAACCGTCATACGTGAACTATTAAGTGAATGGTTTTCCCACCATGTGAATACATCTCATGCTCTTGATATCATCATAAAGTGCATCAGCAAAAACTATCTTAGTACCATAAACTTCAACATTAGGAGTATACATACCGTCATTAAAACCCTTAAGCCAAATGCGAGTTCTGGTACCGATGACATCCCTTCAATCCTTTATAAAATGTCAGGACCGGACATACAGACGCTACTACTCAAAACATACACATTATCTTTAGAGACAGGTACATATCCGGAAACCTGGAAGGCAACGTATGTTCTTCCCAAACACAAATCCGGCCCGAGAAACCTGGTTGAAAACTACAGATCCATAAACATCACTCCAGTCATATCACGCATAATGGAAAAAGTGATACAAAATCAACTATCTGGTCACCTATTCAAGGAACATCTAATAGACCCGTCACAACACGGCTTCATTAGAACAAGGTCGTGCAGTACATGTCTAATAGACTTCTTTAACGAGGTTACTCGTATACATGACCAGACGAAACTAATTATTATACTATACTTCGATATTAAAAAAGCCTTTGATAAAGTACCTCATAGTCTTCTAATCAACAGACCTAAGTCAGTTGGAATTATAAATCCCCTTTTGAAATGGATCAAGTCTTTTCTTATGAACAGATATCAAATAACCAAGATTAACTCTAAAACATCTACACCTCGACCAATAACCAGTGGTGTTGTGCAGGGCAGTGTCTTGGGTCCATTGCTCTTTATAATCTACATCAACAATATATGCAAGTGCTTTAGCACAGGTAAGACCTACCTCTACGCCGATTACTTAAAAGTCATCTATAAAACTGACATTTGCGATGTACGTAGTACTATACAAACAATCCAACATGAACTCAACATGGTAGACGACTGGTTCAAACACTGGAGGTTAGAGCTCAACATAGAGAAATGTATGTATAGGAGACACGTCTCTTAAAATAAAACTAACACTTAACAAAAACATACTGCCCAGACTGGCATCAGTAACTGACCTAGCGGTAAATTACTCACACAGTCCTAATTTCTCCGAACACATCTCAGCCAAAGCATCTAAAATGCAGAAATTGCTTAGCTTCATTCTCCTTAATTTCTATCAAAATGAATCTAAAATCCATCTTTATAAAGTTTGTGTAAGACCCATCGTTGAATACTGTTCGTTCTTATTTTCCGACCCACCCCTATCTGATATACTAAAGGTGGAAGGAATACAAGGAGACATCACCCGCAAAGTACTTAAGACTGACTTGATCATTGACTACAGTTCCCGATATCATACCTTAGGGATAGGTCCCTTTTGAAAGAGAAGGCTTAGGTCTAATTTGATTCTCTACTTCAAACTACTCAAAAACCTTACTTATTCAACATGTAATATAGTTCTTGCCCGAGATTCACATGAATACGAACTTCGAAACAATGTATCTACGGTCAAAGTTGAGAAATACAGATCAAAAACTCGGGAAAACTTCTTCCTCACCAAGTATGCAATAATGTGGAACAGTCTTCCCTCCAAAATACACATAGCAGATGAATTATATAGGTTTGTAAAACTGCTTGATCGAGCCCTCACTTGCACTGATCTAGCATGTACGAACACATCTGCACCCCACTCAGACATCATAGGCTCTCTACATGCCTCATTTTTCCTACTTTGTAGTTGTATTAGTTGCTTTTTGCACCCTATTTCTTCACTTCAGTTAGACAGGTAACTCACTGAACCTATCGATACTGTTAAACTAAACCCGGTCGCTAAGGGACCCTCGCTGCCACCCTAAAAAGTCAGGAGGACCGCAGAATCGACTGCCTACTACCAGTTGTCTCGCATCTATGGAGCCTGTTACCCCTCAACTTGTTATGACAACACAAGATAACATCAGCACCAAGTTAGTAATCTTCCGCTGAGGGAACAGCTATGGAG